TGCCGGAACCAATTCCTTAAACAAAAAATACAATAAAAAAGACGTTTTTTATTATAAAAATGTATTTTTTGAAGAAAGTTTCAAAAATCCTTTGAAACTTTACCTGGAAAACGGTATCCACGCTAGAACTGATTTCCTGCAAAAAAATATTAAAAAAATGTTTTTTTTATAAGAAAATTTTGAAAATCTTTCAAAACTTTACCTGGAAAATGGTATCCACACTGGAACCAATTCCCTAAACAAAAAATACAATAAAAAAGATGTTTTTTAGTATAAAAACGTATTTTTTGAAGAAAGTTTCAAAAATCCTTTAAAACTTTACCTAAGAAACGGTATCCACGCCGGAACTGATTTTCTGCAAAAAAAAAATATCAAAAAAATGTTTTTTTGTTGTTAAAAAACGTTTTTTTATAAGAAAGTTTCAAAAATCTTTTAAAACTTTACTTAGGGAAACAGTATCCACGCTGAAACTGATTTTTTTCACAAAGTATAAAAAAGAAACATTTTTTAACGTTAAAAAATGTTTTTTTTAAAGAAAATTTCAAAACTTTTTTGATTTAATAAAAAGTTACTGAATTCAATGTAAAGAACTAAGGTGTAAGAAAGGGAAGGGAAAAGGACAAAGAGAAGGAAGGAAGGAAATGAAAAGTTTAAAAAGTTTAAAAAAGTTTGTTTAAAAAGACCTGTAAAATGTCGATCTGGATCATCTGATGATTTCAGTTATTTACCAACTGATTTGCCGAATTATTGCCAATTAGTTATTGATTTTTACCGTTTGGCAAATTTGGCAAAATTGTGTTAATTTATATGACCAATCGGTATAATTTTACTAAATGATCTTAAAGGAACAATTTTTCGTATAACAATCGGTATAAGTTGATTTTTCACCAAAAGACTGAACAAGTATTTATTTAACAATCAGTATCAGTTGATTTGTGATTGATTTTACCGATTTTTGCCATTGGTCAAAAAATGTGACGAATCACATGACCAATCGGCAAAAATTATGCCAAAAGCTTTTAACAGTCGAAAGTTTTGATTTCGACCAGTGTAGATGCTAATTTTGTATTTCACTAACATATGGATTAGAATCAAATAGATTTATTACACTATTCTTTGTATTAACATAATATAAATTAAATTCAATTACTGATTTAATATACTTGTTTGGTAGATAACTATGTTATTTCTGAATCACAGAGAATCTAAAATCTGTATATTTTTATTTTCATTATTTGTATATTTATTGGTTTTTTCTTCTGATCAATAAATCTATTAATTATATCTACACCCATTTGCTAAAAGTAATTGAGCACTTTTAAAAAATAATCATTAAATTACATTATTTTGACGTTCAGTAATTAGAATTTAATGATTTATGATTTATTAGATTTGTCTAATTGAGATGCATCTAACCGCTGTATTTTCAAGTCTGTAAATTTAATAAATTAGAAGTTATTATTGAGTGTCTAAAAATAGTAAAATGCAAATAACTTTTAATTCATTAATCCTAGAGACATGAAAATAATAGATACAATGTACCTTAGAAAGATAAAATATGATTTATTAAATTTGTCTTATTAAATTTAATAGAGAAGAAAACGTTGTAAAATTTGTATATGTCAAATTTTTAAAAATGAATAATAAATTATTTGCATTTTACTGTTAAAAATAACATTACTAATCCTTCTAAAACCTATACTATAATTATTAAATAATTAATGTTATTTAACAAAAGGTCAATTATAAGTTTTTACTAACATATTTAATCTTGTAAATATTTTTCTTCTTTCTACTCTACTAACAAATAGATCTCTTACACATTCTCACTTTTTAAAATTCTACAGACTTTATTGATAGTAGCTTCGTTAACATACATTTTTTTAGCAATTTCTTTCTGTATAAAAGCTTTAACCTGATAGTAAATAATTTACCATCTTAAATCTTCACTTAAATTTTTTCCCATTTCAATCTAAAATTATTTTAGTAAGAGTTAATATAATTTGATTTGAAGGAATATTTGTTACTTAAATTTAATAATTTAAAAATTTGTAAATTTGTGAAAATTCATTTCAAGAAGGATAAAAGCATGTGATTACAAAGGGTGTGCATTTATATATATAGAGTAAATAATTAGAGGTTATATATACTCGGGACGGTTATGGGTCAAAAGACCGACAAACAAAAGACCGATACAACATAATCCCGATCTACAAAATCGCGAAACTACAAAATCCTGACTAGGACAAAATATCGACTAGTTCAAAATCCCAAAATACAAAATCGTCTAATACAATAAAAATTTTATAGATTGTAATTAATAGAATTGTTACAATTGTACAAACATATATTTACTATTATAGTTAAAGAACAAATAAATCAATAAAATTGCATAATTGATTATTTAAAGTATATTGTGTAAATCATTTAATGTACATACAAATTAGTTAATATTCCATGTTCTCATGTTCTAGCTTGCTTAGTAAACATAGCATATTGAAAATTCATATGAAAATTTTTTTATGGTTATGTAATCATTCTGATTAACAAATTGCGCGTTGCATATTATTATTTGACAAATTTGATTTACGCGTAATTATAAATATTTATTTTAATTGACAGAGAAAAAAGAATCATGACGATCATCAGTGATAAAGAAAACCGTTCAGTGATGGAGTATCTTCGTGGCATTGCCCATAATCTTACATTATAAGTCATACATTATAAGTAAATTTACAAAAATCTAGTTCTTTTATCTAGTTCTTTTATAAATTACAACAATTAATAAATAAAATAAATGATATACAATATTTTGCGCAATTTACTTATTTTAATGTCTAAAGAATAAAAGATTTCCAAATAATTTTTACTCAATAATATATATACTGTAAATAATATAAATAATCTAAATATTCTATTAAATTATTTTGCAAAAGACAGATTGAAACAAATTATTAATAGTATCTAATCTGTCAAGATTTTGAACTGTCAAGATTTTATATTTCGGGATTTTGAACTAGTCGATATTTTGTCCAAGTCGGGATTTTGTAGTTTCGCGATTTTGTAGATCGGGATTATGTGGTGTCGGGATTCTGGATTTCGCGATTTTGGACGGATCCCCTTGGGACTAAATCAAAGTGTGCATTTAAAAAGAAAATGCACTTATAAGTAGTACATTAATAGAAAGTTGACTGTAAATAGAGAACTTGTATTTCATAACTATGAAAGAAATTCACATAAACTTTAGAAAAGTTTGCAAAAATAAATATGCAAATTTTTTATATGGAGTCATATAGTTAAAGATCGCACCATTTTGAAAATGGTGATAATTGAAAATAATATTGAAAATAAAGTTAATTTTAAATACTATATAAATTAAATTAATAAAAATATCAATATATTTAAAAAGAAAGAAGCAATTAAAGAAAACAATACTTTTTATATATATTATTTAAGAATAATGATAGTTAACAGCTCATTTAAAAACTTTCTTGGGTATAATATTTTGTTTATATAATCAAAATATAAAGTAAAAACAAAAGAATTAGAAGTCTTTTTTATCTAAAATTTTGATAATTAATTTTACTACAAATTCTGGACTTCTGGTAAATTTATAAATATATAAGATTTATAAATTTGTGTTTATTAAAAATTAATTTTATTATTTTAGTTATGTAGTGTTACTTCAGTCTTTTCATAACCCTTAATTATATTTTGCAGTATATTACAAATTTCCAATACATCTTATAATTCTTATAATACATTTAATAATAAATTTTCATTAAATAATAAATCAAGTTTTATCAAATCACAATATAGATATATTTTATCTTGTACCTTTTTTATCATTTCAATAAAATAAAAATTATTGTTTTGGTAATCAAATTGTATATAGTGTCAACTTATTTATTGATTTATCAAATAAGTTGCAGATAATAACGTTTTTTGATAACAAACAATTTTTAAAATTAATTAATTTTCATTATTACTGACAATAATGTTTTTAGTAATAATTTTTAAAAGTATCATTAATTAAGTAAAATATTTTGAAATTTTCAAGACATTATAAATTAAGAAATCTGTAGTTATACCAAGAGCAAAATTTCATGTGAAATTTTGTTGCTTGTTTTTTGACCAACTTTTTTGTGTATTACTGTATGTGAAAAACAATAGTAGATCTTAAATATTTTTTGACGATTTTAGAAACTGACACTTTTAAAAAAATATATTTGTGAACGGTAAAATAAAATATATTTACTTGATTAGCATTCACGTGGGATGAAAAAATGGAATAATCATGTGGCATAAACCAGAAATTTTATTTTTTATAACAAAAGTAGTAACGTTGCAGTATGACGTTATAACGTACATGGCAATAAATATTTAGAAAACAATCGCATAAGGCAATATACTTTAAATATTATAAATTTGAAGGAAATTCCCAACGTCTTAATGTCTGAATTTTAATTTTAAATAATTTTTAATGATTAAATAAAATATTTATTATAATAAATTACATTTCCTATGATTTTGAAATATATTTTACCTAAATTATTTAGAAGAAATAAATAAAGATTAATGAGAAATCATTAAAGTACATCCATTTTATTTCTCACCAAAATGATAAATGATTGACTGCGGCAGAATAATTTTACGTGACCGTAAGAAAAAAAAATTTCCATAATTGGATTATAACGGTTCGTTAATGCAATTTCATTTCATTTGTCATTGAAAAATTTTCGATTGATCTAAATGGGTGCATATGATAATTACACCGAATATTTCTTATAATGGTAACAAATCGAATAAAGTGAGAATACTTTTATGGCAATTGTATTAAGTAAAATCCTGCTATACACAGTAAGAATAGTTTTTTTTTCACGAGAAAAGTCTTTTTCAAAAGAAACCATTGTTGGCTTGATCGATGATCGTTTTTTTTTTTTTTAATTGCATAGAATATTATTTCCTTTTAACTTTAATCAGAGAAAAAAAAATGAAATTGAATAAATACCCTTCTGAAACCATTTTCTCTCTTTTTTTCCTTACCTTCCAATCCCATTATAAGCAAAGTTCAAGCACATGATAATTCCATAATTAAAAATTAAGATTTTTTTTTAATTTTCATTGTTAGCAAGGATTACATCATCATCATCATTTCACAAATTATGACATCACGTGCTTGTGTCTTTATTAATTCGAATCCAAAGGTTCGAAATAAATTAATTAATACGATTTCTTGTATTAAACCAAAGTTCCCGCCGAATATCAACTTAAGAGAGTTGATAACGAAGCAAACATTTAGTGAATCTAGTAGAAGTTCGGGGAGGAGTCCGAATGCTTTTATCATTTACAGGAAAGCATTCGTTGAAGCCGCAAGGAAGGACGGATACCACCTACCAATGACAGTTGTATCTTCAATGGCTTCTAGATCTTGGGACTTGGAACCAGGGGAGGTCAAAGAACATTATAAAAGGTTAGCCAAGGAAGCCAATGCAATAAGGAATAAATTAGTTCCAAAATTAAATAAAAAAAGAAGACAAAAATGGAATATAGTTTCATTTCCACCTCCAACCTCCTCAGTTACCAATAATAAAACGAGGTCGAAAAAGAAAAAGGTGGAAATTAAAGAAAATCCATCATCAAGCACTGGTATTCCTCCAATAAGTTTTCATATTCCTTACGATATCTGTTCAAAGATCGAAGATAGATACAGTTCCCTTGATGATTCAACAATTAGTCCTTCTATCACAAATTCCGCACAACAACAACCGCAACAAGTCAATGATATCGATAATTTCAATAATTTCAATAATTTCAATAATTTCAATAATTTTATTAATTATATTCCTCAACAACCTCTTAACCAAGAATTAATTATTGGGGAACAAATCATTGATACATTTAATGTTGCGGTTGACATTCCTATCGACATTAATAACGATTTTGAATATGATTCTTTCGGCTTCTCGACACTCTTTAATGAATGTGAAGAATATGAAGTTTATTATCCTTCTATTTTGGGTGGGTGAAATTTAAGCTAAGAAAAATTTTTTTTTTTATAAAAAAAAAAAGATTATATATATATATATCATATGCTACGTTTGCCCTATATACTGTATATATAAATTATTAATTTTTTTTAGATCTCTTTTTTTTTTGCATTTATAGTAAATATGGTCAAGTTTTAAATTTAAGTTTATGATGTAATTTTAAGTTTATGATGTAAGTAAAAATCAAGATTATGTAAAATAATTAATAAATAATTAAGAAAATCTAAAAGGGACAATAACGAAGTACCGATTTTTTTTTTTCGTGTTATTTATTTAATCATGTTGTTACAATATATATTCGGTGAAACGATCACGCAATGTACCAATAATAAAAAATTTTTTTATTTTTATAATAAAAACCAGAATAAAAAAAAATAAGAAAAAAAAACCCAATATAATAAAATATATAAATAAATTTATAAGAGAGAATAAAGAAAAAATAAAATAAAATAAAAGAGAAATCCGTAAATTATAGGATTTTGGAGAGAACAAAGGGACAGGGAAGTGAAATTTTTTTTTTGATTTTGGGAATGAATAGGACTTTAAAGGACTAAAGAGAGGATTTAAGATTTAATAAAGATAAAAGAACATTCAATTTAATTTATAAAAGTTAATAGGGAAAAAAAAAACGAAATTGAACTTAAATCATTATACTTTTCTATAAAAGAACGAACAAAATAAAGGAAATTTTGTAATAAAATACGGCGAAAAAAGCAAGAAATTATAAAATATACGAAAATATAATAATAAATACGAATGAAAATACGACGAATAAATTCGAAATAACGACCAGGAAAAATAAAAATAAAACGAAAATCGAGAATATACGTCATACGAGTTTTAACGTAAATAAATGAAAAATAAAAAAAAAAATGAAAATTTTACGGATTACCCGATTGACCGGGATTTGTTTTACTGGCATCTACGTGTCCAGTTGACACGGGAGGTGTTTGTCTTTTTTGTACTATTTAAGAAAAAGATTATTGTTTTTAATAATAATTCTCGTAATTAACAGATAAAATTGTTTGAAAAATAAATACTGACAATTTGCTTTTTCTTCTTGTCCAACGCTAACTTCACCTAAATCAGGCTCTGGAACATCATCATCACGTTTGTTTATAAAGTGACGACTGTAATTCTTATTCTTATGTTTCTTTTTCTTATGTTTCTTGTTTTTATAATCATATAAACCTCCACCTTCCGTATATGGAGTATCTTGTTTACGTTTTACAACTAATAATTAAAAAAATGAAACCTTATAAACTGATTCAGATTAAAAAAAGTTTCGAAGGATTTAAAGAAAAAAAAAAAACGTACGATTCGATTTAATAACGGAGCCATTTGATAAAGTAGTTAAACAAAGAATTATAACTATTGCTATAAGAACGATCAGATTGTGTTTTCTCATTATGAGTTAACGATTCTGTTAAAAAAAAGAAAAAAGAAAATATAAACCTTTGAATTTTAAATGCGGTAAAAGATATATTTATATATAAAGTAAATTTCCTTTGTGGGATCATAATATTATAACGATTCATGATTGATCATAATGAAATGATCGAGGCTTAGGATTAACCGATCGACTTCAAACTTTTAACGATCTTTTGAACCTTTTTATCTGTGGCTTCATATAAATGGCTTTATACCCGATATTAATATTCCCGGCTGTGCTGTTTATAGCACGTGATCATTCGATATTAAAATCTATTGTTTGATAATGGCTAAAATATTGTGGCTTAATGTTTTGATTAGTTACGATAAAAATAAACTAAGCTAATCTCATTCCAGATAAATTTGGCTGTGCGTGGTAGAATCGACTGTGTGCTATATATAATGGTGACAAATAACATAATTTTTAACGTAGAAAATTGATCAAAGATGTGATACATATAATTATAATAAATAAATAAGAATAATACTTATGATCTATACCGTAGATTTTCTTAAAAGAAAGTTCTTCGTATATGTAAGATGACAACAGCCTCGAATATAACTTTAGTTCTCGATCATGGCTTAAAGCATCAAATGTCATCAATATCTCTCTTAATAAATATTTTTTTTATAATTTTAAGACTTTTTATCCGATATTTTACGCTTTTTAACTAAGCCATTTTTTTTACATTTTTTACATGCGATAAAAATCTATCCGACTAACCGTAAATTCTTAAAATCAAAAAAAAAAAAAAAAAAAAAAAGATCATTTTTATTCAGTAAATCAAATTAGCTAATAAAATCTTAAATAAAATTTTAACTATATTAACTATAAGAGGTGTAAAATACAAACAAATAATAATGATTGAAAAAGAATATTTGATTTTTTTCGTAGTAATTTTAATTTCCCACCATTTCCCCTTAAAATTCTTTTTATCAGCCCATAAAACTAAATCTTCACAAATGGGATGATCAGGATTATTATAAACATGTACATTTTTAAGATTAGGAAGTGGTGAATTAAATAAAGGTTTGGCCATATCTAATGTAATATTTTCACAATCTTCAAATGTTATATTAGTAATTAAAGAACAATGTTTAAAAACTTCGAATGAAACACATCCAAGAAAATCTACTGAATAAAATTCTATCTCTTTTAAAGAATGTGTTTGTGTATATAAAGAATTAATGAAAAAATGTGTGTAATATCGATAATCTTGTAAAATAAATTTTTGTAAATTGGATTGTGATGATATTAACATGGCTAATTCTTCTGCTTGTTGTTTATTAATAAATAAATTTGAAAATTCTGGATCATGAGCAAAATTTGTATCTAATACTTCCTATAAATGTAAAAAATTATTATTAATTATTATTAATTATTATTATTATATCATAATATAGTAAATTATTTTTATTTCTTACCAAAGAACGACAAGTATATCCAATAGAATTTAAAAATCCATCTAACGCTAAAGCATCCCATTCCAATCTTAATTCTTTCACGTTAGATAAACAATTTCTTATATTCGGTTCTCTTAATAATTTAAAATCTATTGTTTTTAAATTATTAAAATAATCATCATTCAAAAGATAATTCGGGACATTGTTCATTGCAAAATATTTTATTTTGGCGCAATTTGATGAAAATAATTCTAATAAATATTGAACTATTATCTCATTTCTTTTTGTATTTCGATAAGGTTTACGATTTTTCTTACTCCATAAAAATATGGTTTTAAGAAATTTTTCAAAATTTAATTCCGTTAAATATGTTGCATATCGAAATGTTGTTTTATCATAATTTGTAGGTATATTAATTCCCGCTTGATTTTGTAGTATTTTCCGTTTTTCTAAACTAAGACATGATAAATACGTCGTAATTACGCCTATACGAATCGTTTGAATCGGATAAAATACTGCTGACCACAAAATCGGTACTACATTTACGCACCATCTTTTGTTAACTAATAAACAAGAATATAAATCATTAAGATTTTTATCACTACGATAACATCCTCTATTTCCATATATTTTTTGGAATATATTTTTGAGAACTTCTGGAGGAAGTTGTGGTTGTGTCGCCATTCTTATGAACTTATAGTTAACAAATTATAAATTTGTATCTAATAAAATGTATCACAATAAACAAGACGCACAAAAAAATTATAACAATAATTGTTTTTTTTTAAAAAAAAAAAAATNAAAAAAAAAAAAAAAAGATCCAGAGATAATTATTTATAATCGTGAGGAAAAAAGTTTATTATCGTTTGGAATGGGTTTCTTTTGTTTATAAACAAATAAAGAAGGGACTTATAAATTTAATTATTATTTTTAATAATATATAAAATTTTAAGGCGAAAATGAAAAAAAAAAAAAAAATGTTTGTCTCTGGTTTAAAAAAAAAATTAAATTTTTTTTTTTTTCGAAAAAATTAATTGAATGTGGAAAAAAAAATCATTCTAAGAGAGAAAAAATGGTCTGGCGTTTATATTATTTGTGATACAAGATTTTCCTCTGTTGCCATTTTTTATGCATTATCACTGTAATACTGAAGGTGTTTGAATTTCCAAACAATCAAATATATGTAAATTTAAAAAAATGTCTAATTTTGGTTTCATACAAAACAAACATTTTTAAAAAAAAATCTATTAAAATTTATTCGAGAAAATATTAAAAGAATTCTAACGCTAAGACAATCAACTCGATGTATTTTTCCCATTTGAGGTTAACAACTGAAAGCCTAATCAGCTCTTAAATATCACCAATGTCTTTTTTTGACAATATGCAAAATATGCTGCAACATGCATGCGCAATGAATAATAGTTTTTGAATGATAATGGTAAACATGTCGTCCAATAATACTTGAACACGATACGCATGTTAAATATATGCTAGCTACTAGTGAGATAATGGCGGCGTAATATTGTAAGTAAAATGAAAAAAACTATGATATTCTATATTTCATTATATTTCTTAGGATAATCATTTTGCTCATATTCGGCATGTTTACGTCATTTAATTAGACCAGTTCTCCTTGTAAATTTCCCAAGTTTGCTTTAATATTGATGCGATCGCCTAATTTATCATGATCTTGTTAGGCTCCTAGGAAAGCAGGTCAAGGTTGGCTGTCATTGTTCCACTGCGGCACTTCGTTATTTAATATTACTATCATATGCCACGTAAAATGACAGCCAATCAACGAATATATTATTAATATACTTTAAATCTATAATCAAATAAGAGTATTGCTAAAATTTACCTTTTTAATAATAGTAATAAATACAGTTAGTAGTTATACTTACTTTATAATGATTTTTTCCAATATGTGACATTTAACCAATTAAATATTTATATAATTACATTTTATAAATAACTATTATTATACCAATTTCTGAAAATTAAAAATGAATTACATATATAAATCCATAATTTTGCAATTAAAATTTATAAAATACAAAATTATAACTGGAATTTAATTATTATATTACAAATTTACTCTAATAAAATAAATTAAATAAAAAGTAAAATTATTTCTTTACAATTACTAATATTAACAGAATTATTAATTTTAAAAATTAATCAAATAATTAGATTGTAATTAAAAGAGTAATATATATCATATAATTATAATTTATAAGTTTATTATATAACTACTTTGCAGAAACCTTGAATTTGTAAAATATCATTACATTATTACTAAAATACATGCAATATATATTTAAAGTATTATGATAATCCTTTTTTTTAAATGAATTGTTCTGATATTAATTTAGTATCATAATGAGAATTGAACAATTGGCATAACACATAACATTTTGACTGCATTAAAACAATTCTTTTATAGTATTATTGATTTATTGAAAATTTATATATAAAAAGTAAATTAAACCATTCCGATTAATAATTATATTTAATAAATTTCTTCCTTTCAAAAATTTACATTTTATATAAATACTAAAAAATGCAAAGTAAATATATTCCTCTTAAAATATATATTCAGTTTTTAAGTATGAATATTAATATTAAATTTTTTTACTATAAATAAAATAAATATAAAAGTTCAATAAATTCATATAATTGTTAATGCATATCAATATTTGGAACATTTTTTATTCTTTTATACAATATTATATTACCTGTTAAAGTAATATTACTAATTTTTTATTTGCAGATTTTTTTTTTTTTTTGCTTAAGTTCTTTATTTTCTTTGTTATTTTTTCAAATAAATATATTTTTTTGGGTATAAAATTTTGTGTTAAAATTATAAAATTATATCTACTAGTTTTTGTATGTTGAAATAAAAAACAAATTGTCAAATATTCTGCAATAAGTATTGAACTTTCTGGACTTTTATTTAATCTTTTAAAGTTAACTTTTCTATTAATAATATATTAAATATAGAAATAATGTATTCACCACGTCCTGTGTTACTAATTTATATATATTTTTATGTTTATCATTTGCCATTTTAAGGGGGTGCGGTGTATAAACTAAAGATTGATATAAATAATTTACAAAAAAGAAAGGATGCTTTGTAACACAGAGTACAGTAAATAAATTCACTCTTAAATATAAATATATCAAAAAGTTAATTCAAAAGATTGGTATATAATATTAAAATAAATTCAAAAAAATTTAGAAATAATTTTTTTAAAAGTTACACATATTAGATTTATATAGAATGATCATTGCAGTGTATGAAATTTAAGTTAAATGCATTTTACATAATGTGCAAAAAAATAGTTACATTTATTTCATGTGCAATTTGCACAAATAAATTGATTTGCATATATTCACAAATATTTTCAAATATATTTTTGTGTAAATTATTTATTAAGAAATTGAATATTTAATTAATTAAATGGAATTAAGCAATATTTATTAAATTTTATAATTATTACAAGTTATTAATAAATAGCAACTACTCAAGCATCTAAATGACCTAATTGACCTAAGTTTAATGAGTCAGATAATTGCATCTAATGATTGTATATATTTTGATGTGAAAACACTCTTTTTACAAATGCATTAGAAAGTGGAATTATTAAAATAATATAAATTAATTTTGTAGTATTAGGATATAGAATAGGAAATTCTGTTGTTGAAAAAATTCTAACTACTGCTTGACAAATTTAAATTCTCTAAAATTAGTCATAAATTGTCATATTCTTTTTCTAGTTTTATTTTATTAATTATTGGTTCATAAATGTTATCATCTTAATTAGTCTTTTGGCTGCCATAGAATTTTCCAATAATTATAATCTCTTTTTCACCATATTTATTAATTAAAGTTTGAATTAAAGGTAACTGTTGTGCATCAAAAATTCGCATTTGCAGATATGTTTAAAAATGACCCTACAAATCATCCAGATGAAATGGAAAGAAAAATTATTTGTATTAGTAAAGCATTATAAGGTTTAAAGATTGTAAATTCATTTTTACTTCAACAGGAAAATGCAAGTGAACAAATTAAACTGGTGGGTAAAATTGAAAAATTCATTAAAAACAAACAAATCAATTCAATGCAACAGACTACTATAATCTATAAATCAATATTTTAAATAGTTACTTGATTTTTATAATGATAATTGTTTTATTTCATAATTTCTATAATTCTTAATAAATATTATGATATTGTTTTTTTATGTGATTTCTATAAATGCACACTCTCTCTAAATGCACGTTTCCAAAGGGCGTGCAATTATAGAGGGTTGACTGTATACCAAGTGCGCATGCGCACATAGTACTATATTGTTTTTTACATCCATCCAATAATTGTGTTATTGTTCATCAGACACTGCTGTTAATGCTATAAATATTACTCACAAGTTTCTGAACTTAACTCATTACTAGAGTCTGACTGTAATTTTCAATTTTTTCTTCAAGTTCTTTTCGGTGGTTATTCCAATCCTTAATAGTCTCTTCGTAATTTTCTTTTTCTTCCTTTATATCTTTTAACTCTTTTTGTAGTCTCTAAATACTGAGTTCTATATATTCTAACCATCCAAACTCAGGAAAATTTATTTTTTTTTCTACAAAATTTAATTTTGATAAATATTTTTCTTGATTCTCCCTATCTTCTTTAATTTTATTTTTAAATTTCTCAATTAACTGATTTTCTTTCTCGTCAAGAACATAATTTACACCAACCGAAAGGATTTTAACTCCAAATTTTGCAATGTTTCCCCCAGCATTAGATATTGGAAAATTGTCAGGTTGAATCAAATTAGCTATTCCAACACTACCTTCTACTAATTCATCAGAACAATCCACAAGTTTTTTACCATAATCATACCTAGGTAATTTACTCTTAATCTCCTTAACTTGTTTTATTATTTTTTCTTTTTCTCCGATGAAATTCTCTAAATTTTCATGGCGTTCTCGATAAAAATTTTTTGACTTGTATGTCTCGTCAAATTTTATTAAGTTTTTCAGCAAAATTTCCTTTAATACCTTTCTATTTTCTTTATTACATTTTAGTCTTTCACCTTTCACATCTATTGGCGGATTATCTACATGAATAATTCTTTCTTTACAAGTTTTAATTACTTCAGCTAATTCTCCACCATTATCAATCATTATTTTAATATCCTCTTCGCAATCAGTTTTTTTCTTGAAATGAGGGAAATTAGTTCGTACTATTGTAGTGTAATTTACTATATTTTCGTCAAAAATAACTTTTTTAAGTAAATTGTAAGACCTTATTTCCTCTTTAGTGAATCTACCACTTACAACAAACAGAACTTGATTAAGTTCTTCTTTTATGTACCAACACGACTCTGCTAATTTTTTTAATATGGTGCATATCACCTAAACTCATCAATAGTCCAAATTTTTATTTTATGATGATTATTACTAAATTAAGATTTATTACTTCTAAATAAGGCAATAGTCTAACTTTATTTAGTAATTAAAATTTTGATCACAATTTATTATAACAAATAAATCAATATAATTGGTTATAATCAATATCACATGATAGAAGAATTCTGAAATTTTCTCATTTATATATAAGTTAATATAGAGATATATAAAAATATGCTAACTTTAAACTTTAATAACTTTTGAAATATGTTAAATAAAGAAAAAGTAATCCGATAATTTGAAAGAGAAGAACTCAAAGTGTAATTTTATCAGTTTACATTTTTAATTATCATATAATTTTATTAACAAGTAGTTAGCTTTTTAAAATCACTAATTTTATTTGATGAGTTTAGGTGATATGTACCATACTTCATCGGGAAAAGATTTCGTATCACTAATTCCTACTGTGTTGTAATAACCGAAAAATACAATAATATAGAATAAGGATAAATAATTAGCCGAAGGATAAATAATTAACCGATGGGTAAATAATTAGCCAATAAAATTATATTTATAGTTTAGTTTAGTGTAACGAGATAGTCATATGATAATAGATCTTCAAATTTTATTAGAAAAGATAGTAAATATGAGAAATATTTTTTCTTAAAATGTATAAATACAAGTGGATTTCGATAGGAAATTCAGGAGTCAATTTTTTTTTTTGACTCAAATAAAATAATATTAAAATATTAATTATTAAAAAGTTATTCAAATATGAATATGCTCATTGTACGCTTGAGAATTAATTAATATTGTATTATTAAGTTCGAGAATTTAAAATAATATTTGGTAAGAAAATAATGTTTTTGTAATTTTTGTAACTAATTTTTATTTTAAACCAAGCATAGATATTATTTGAACTCAACACGTCGGTGGCAACATACGATATTTTATTTTAATATCCTATGGGCGGCGTGTCACAGTGTCAACTACTCGATATTTTATTCCCTCAATCTTAAATTCTTTGCTTCTAACTTCTTTTGTCTCGTTAACCCTATACTTTCCTTCTGGGAACTCATTATTATCGACCAAGACATTAGCTAAGGTAGATTTTCTATTACCAGTTTTGCCAATAATAAGTATATTTCTAATACCATTTTCTTCGTTAGTTTCTTTTCTCATTAGATTATCGCTTGTTTGTTGTGATTCTTTTATTCGTATTTCTACACTAGCAGAAGTTGTCACTTGACTATTTAATTCTATACTCTCAGCTCCATTAACATCACTACTGCTGCAATTACTTTGATCAGTCTCCAGGATATTAGTAGTACTTCCTTTATTTTTTTTCAAAAAAATTTTTAACTTTCCTTCCATACTTTTGTATACAACTACTAAAAAACTATTCTTTATAGTTGATAATTAAATACCTTTTTTTTTGCGCTTAAGTCAATTTATTAAAGTAAAAAGTAAACAGTATAAAAGCCATTGATAAAAATACTTTGCATCATCATTTACTAAAATGGATTGCGACAAAGGGCACGCGTAAGGGGATGGCCAGAAATGACGTAATTTAAATTTTAGGATTTTTGAACCCTCCTCATCCTATGTCATCATTCATTTTAGAAAATGTAAAATTAAAACACAATTCTGGCTAGAATTATATTAACTACAAGTATCTAAAAATAAAAGGTGTGTAACATCATCATAGTCCCCTTCCTTTAGGAAATGACGTCATTTCTGGCCATCCCCTAAATGATACTTCCTAGTACAATCACATGTTATTGGCACCGCAATGATTCAAAACAAGAGTGTCCTTAAAATAGACTTATTTATATAGGGGATTTAGGATAAAGAATCTAATACAATTGATCTTTCCCAGCGTCGCTTCAAGATTTTTCACCCCACGTGACCTGCATAAAATGTCACCCTGCGTTACACTTTACCGTTTTTATTTTTTCATAAGTATTCTGGAAACTTAGAAAATTTTTAGTAGTGAAAAAAATTTTTTTCACTCCCCCTTAAACATCACCGGTCACGTAGGGGTGGAATTTTACTTAGAAATCTTGGGGTGATGCTGGGGTAAATACACAATTGTAAATAATTATGTGTTAGTGCATATAGCTTAATCACATGATCCAAATTTCAAATTTTTATTAAAAAATAGCATGGCAAAAACTTTCCTTACAAAAATTAAAAAAAAATTTTTTTTTTTTTAAAAAATTTCAAAGCAAAACGCTTCAAAACTTACTCTTCAGTTTCTCGTTTTCCAAAGTCAAAATACTGAAAATTCTATAAAAAAAATGAAAGGAAATGTTAGAAACATTTTCTAAAAAATAAAAAAAAAATTAAAGTTTTAAATCAAATGATTCGAAACTTACTCTTTCATTTTCCTAAGTTGAGTACGCCAAAAAAAACCTATAAAGAAAAGGAATTATTGGAAATGTTAGTAATGTTTCCTAAAAAAAGAAAAGATTTTTTTAAAAAAGTTTTGAGGTGAATGCCTCGAAACTTACCGTTTCATTTTTCTAAGTTAAATATGGCAAAAAGATCTATAAAAAAAAGGAAATATAGGAAACGTTAGAACATTTTCTAAAAAATATTAAAGTTTCAAATTAAACGATTTGAAACTTACCTTTTTGTTTTCTGAAAGGAAATTTCTGATATTTCTAATTTACAGTAAAAGTGGAAAGGAAGGGAAAAAGAAGAACGAAAAGGAAATGGGAAAATGAAAAGGAAGGAAGAACAAAAGGAAAAAGGGGAAAATGAAACAAAAAGGAAGGGGAAAAACAAAAAGGAAAGGGAAATGAAATGAAAAGAATGAAAGGGAAAGGAAAAGGAAACGAAAAAGGAGGGGGAGAACGAAAGGGAAAAAGAGAAGGGAAAGGTGAGAGAAAGAGGGAAGGTAAAATGATGAAAGAAAGGGAAGTAAAGGCCGTGAAAAAAAAAATTAAGTTTTTGCTAAAAAAGCTTAATTTTTTTTTTCGTTATATCGCAGTTAAGCTGCGGTAATTATTAAGTAATATCAGGGGCCTTTTTCCCAAAATAATTTTTTTTTATTATAATTTTTTGATAGATGTATATATATCTAATAACTTTACGAAAAGCCCTTCGCCCCCTCCTCTGTAAACAAGTAGAAGCCATAAAATACCTATAGGGGGAGAGCCATTGCTGCTCCCTCCGCCTGTTTATAGTGACAAAAAGAGGGAGTCTTCAGTAGTAAGATTTTGTATTAAATTAAACAACACATCGTGTATGTTGAATATACTGATGTGTTTAGTGTATTTAGTGTTAAATAACAGATAATGCATATTTTAACATGATTATAAATATTGTAAATTAAATAATATTCATGTTTTTTACAAATAAATAAAAATTACCTAACAATTTTAATATAATTAAGTGCAATGCTATGTTATCCACTGTAATTGTAGTATTTTTTTGTATTTTTTTAGTGTAATTCTGTGTTTTTTAGTGCAATTCCACATTTTTTAGTGCAATTCCATGTTTTTTAGTGCAATTCCATATTTTTCAGTGTAATTTTGTGTTTTTTAGTGCAATTCTACGTGCAATTTCACATTTTCTAGCATAATGTTACACTTTTCAATATAACGCGAAATTTTCTAAAAAAATATAATAATTGTGGTACTTTTTAGTGTAATGCTACATTGTCTAGTATAATTGCAGTATTTCTTAGTGTAATGCTGCATAATCTAGTATAGTGCTACATTTTTAGTGTAATTGTCCAGAGCGAAGCGAAGGACTATATATGTTTATGAACCTTAATGACATATTGGATCACATGGCGATGTCTGTTTGTCTGCACGCGTCATTTCTAATTGGTCCGCACAGATTGTGTCATTGAAATTTCGTGCTACTTCAAAAATAAACAAGTGTAATAATCATAATAAGTTTATGATAAACATGATTACCTGATAATCTCTTTTTTTGTTTGGTTTCATTTAGTGAGTATATTTTTTTTTAATTGACTTCAAAGGAATGTTTTTGATTTATTTCTTATTCTTTTTCTAGGGTTTCTGGATTTCTTGTACATACTGGACTTTAAAGGTAAATTAGGAAGTGGAGGGTTTTTTATTTGTTTAACTTTAAAGAAACGTTTCTAACGTTTCATTTCTTACTTTTTTTCTAGGGTTTCTGGATTTTTTGTATATACTGGACTGGTAAGTTGTTTTTTTATTTGTTTTGTTTTAAAGAAACGTTTTTAACGTTTCACTTATTATTATTTCTAGGGACATGGGATTTTCGTACACACCAGATTTTTAAAGGTAATTTGGCTTTTCTTATTTGTTTGACTTTAAAGAAATGTTTCTAACGTTTCATTTCTTACTTTTATCCTAGGATTTCTAGATTTCTTGACTGGTAAGTTGTTTTTTATTTGTTTTGCTTTAAAGAAACATTTTTAACGTTTCATTTTTATTTTTTTTATCTAGGAATGTGGGTTTTTTGTATATGCTGGACTTTTAAAGGTAAATTGTAAAAAGGGGCTTTTCTTATTTGTTTAACTTTAAAGAAATGTTTCTAACGTTTCATTTTTTATTTTTTTTAAGAACGCCAGATTTTTTGTACAAATTGAATTTTTAAAGATATTTGGATTTTTGTACAAAATCTTTCGCTCTGGACTTACAACGGTTTCCGTTTCCTAGTTTAGTGTAATTTAATGTAATGTGGAATTTTCCAAAAAATATGATAATTGTGATGCTTTTTAGTGTAATTTAGTGAAATGCTACATTTTTCAGTGTAATGGCATATTATTGAGCATTTTCAAAAAAAAAAATGCAACATTTTAACATTCTGATGAAAATAAAATATTTTGACCAAAAAAACGTAAAATTTGCTGAAAATATGCAACATTTGACAGAAAATATAGAATTTTCATAAAAATACACCATTTGCTAGAAAATTGGAATATTTAATAAAATTTGATTTTAATTGACAATGTTACAACAATTTTATGAAATGTTATTACAATGATGTCACATTAAAGATAAAATGTGGCATTTTCATAAAAATGCACTATTTGCAAAAAAAAAGCAAAATTTGATTTTAATGACAATGTTATAATAATGTTACAAAATGTTACATTTGAGATATAGGCCGTTCTCAAGCGCCTCCCTCAATGTGATTGGCCAGTGATTGAAATGATGCTTAAGTATCACGATCAATTGAAATAAATTGGAATAAACATGGTGATCAATACTTGAACAATCTCTTTCACTCTCTTACTTTTTTTATCGAGTTTTATTATGCCTCCAAAAAAAAGAACTAAAACAACTTTTAAAAATTTCGTTCCAACCACTCATTTTTCTCCTTTTAACAACCTAACAAATAATTTATCCTTACAACAACATCAAAATTCCACTACACTACCTTTTGCCGAAAATGAAACAATAAATCATATAGATCCTTTGACGCCAAATGAAGTAAGATATCCAGTATATATGGACCCTTTAAATAACACAACAAGATATCCGGTAAATATTTATTCTTTTATAATTATACTATATGAAAGATAATAAACTTGAAATTCTTTTTATAGATAACCTTGCAACCTTCTCAACCTTCTCTTATTACTCATCATGTAACTCATAATCAAGAAAATCAATCACCTTTTAATTCTGTAGCCATAAATAATCAAAGTCCTATCCAATCAACTTCTACCATTTATTAACTTCAATACACCTAAATCAACAAACAGATAGACAACATCAGAAACTCGAATGCTTATTGAAGAAGTAAGAATGCAATGGCAAGCATTGCAACAAGTTAAAGATCCAAGAGAAAAGAACCGAATCTGGGATAAAATTATTATTAACATCTAAAAGTCAGATATGGCAAGTCCATCTTTAAAAGAACGTACAAAGACATCAGTTCAACAGAAGTGGGATGCACTTCTCCAAAAATTCCGTGACATAAAGGATAAAACTGAAAGCACTGGTGGCGAAGCTATCCAAAATGACTAGAAGTTTTTTAAGGACATGGATAGCTTTTTAAAAAAAGATCCGAGTATAGTTGCACCAATTACAAGTGACTCAATTTATGGGATTAAGCGTAAAGAACAAAAGAATGCTGAAGAACAAATCGAAGAGGTCAGTGACGTTTTAATATTTATTTTTTTATTTTTTTTCTAATATCTAATCAAATCATTATTCATATCATATAGAATGACTCTAGACAACAAAAAAAAGCACGTTCTGAAGAAAAAAAAATAAATATAGAAGAGATTCGAACTCTTATTAAAGAACAGACTGATACTATTGCTGAAATTATGAAAGAACAATATATTTATGCTTCTGAAGTTCAGCAAAAACAGCACAATGAACAAATAGAACTATTTAAAATGTTTTTAACGAAATTTTAATTATGAGCAGTTAATAATGTATATGCAAATAATTTTATTGTAATTAATGAAGCTTTGTAAGGTTTAATAATGATTAATTAATTATAAGATCTGCTAAATATTCTCTCTTCTGAGTACTCACCATCTCTTCCATTTCTTCATTTTCTGCTTCATACTCATTATTACCATTTATATCATCATCCATTTCTTTATTAACATTTTCTGAAGATAATAAATCTCCCATATCAATACAAATATTATGTAAAATACAGCATGCATGTATTATTTTAACAATCTGTTCTATATTTGTACAATAAATTTCTTTCAACCATCGTTCCTTTAAATGTCCAAATGCCTGCTCAACAACCATTCGCATTAAAGAAAGAACTTTGTTAAAGTGACATTCTCGAGCAGTTAGCATATAATAATTAGGAAATGCTTTCATTAAATATGTACGGAGAGGATATGCTGCATCTGCAATAATGTAAGAACCACCTGGAACCTATTGTATGTTCGGGATGCAACAAAATTTCATGATAAAGTGAAGAACGATAAAACACTCTGGCATCATGTACACTTCCTATGATAATAGTATATAATAATAAATTAATTATTAAAATAAATAAAAATAAATAAATAAATAATAATAAATGTCTACTAGCCTGCTTCACCAGTATGTATATAAGTAAAGCGTCCCTGATGATTAACAACTCCAAGAAGGTTGATAAAGTGAAAAGTTTTGCGATTAACATAACGGGCACTATTCTCAGAAGGTTCATGAATAGGTATATGTACTCCATCCATTGCATCAATAATATTAGGCAGTTTGCGATACCCTAGACCAGTTTCTCCATATTCAAATCCTTGTATTACTATTGCTAAATGTGATCCTTGTGGCCATGCAATTCGTCCTTGTTCTAAATCTAATAGTACTTCTAAAAATCAATCAGTAAAATTACTTACAGATCCTTGACTTATTCCAAGTGTTTGTTCCAACACTCTTATTCCAGATCCATTTGCTAATCGTCATAATACAATGGCAATTTGTTTCCATACAGGTGTTGCATTAGAGGCATCTAAAGTAAAAGCTTGGTGAGTTTCTAATCAAGTTACAATAGCACGAAAAGTGATAAGAGTTATACGAAAGTAACACCTAAAAGAATTATAACCTTTCCCATCTACTAAGTAGGGAAAACATCTGTCCAAAACCCTTCAGTTTTAGGTCTTGGCTGACATTGCAATCTTATACTGGATGGAAAACAAACAGTTGATAAAATTATATTTGTTGTGGTAAGGACAGTTAAAAGATGATCGGATCTTTGCATTTGTATATTTTTATTTTTTATAATAACTTCTAATATAAAAAGTAATATAATTATTAATTTTTGTCGGTGCTGAAGATCTATAGTGTAAAATGGAAAGTGAAGGAAATAAGGCGCATGAGCAATCTCTTTTTATATTCCATTATTTTCTATTTTTGGTAGCTCTATGAAAAAAAAAGATGGTTTATAGCTCTGGGTTTTTTTGACTTAAATGATCTTTACACTTTACCTTTTTAGTCAACGATTAACCCATTGAGGGAAGCGCTTGAAAATGGCCATAATGTAGCATTTTCCCAAATTTTCATAAAATTTGCTAAATTGGACAATGTTGTAACAATACTATTCCAAAAAATTGCTCAACATAATGCAGCATTTTCTACAATTTCCTACCATTTTCCAGAAAAATGTGGAATTTGCATTTTTTGAATTTTGGACAATGATGCCCCTTCGACCTGTGAAAATTTATAATATTTTAACTCTGCTATTATTTGATCTCCATGTTAACCTTTACATGAATATTTAGATGCCTCACAATAAATTTTTCTATCTTTAGTTTCATTCTAAGATATTATTTCCATATGACACCATTTTTTTACTGCTTTTCTTTTCTTTGAATTTCCTCTTGATGCTTCAAGCTTTTTTATAATAACAATTTCTCAGGATTTCTGAATTTCTTGAATGTACTTTTTTATAATTCAAAGTGGATTTTAGATTTCGCACTTGGATTTTTTGCACTGCTTAACAGTTTAACCTTTTAGGATTTCTCTCTAGTAACAGACTGGATTTTAGGATGTTGGATAACTAATTTACACTGACCTTCAGGTAAAGTTGAGGTATGTGATTCTGTAATAGTTTAGTTTTCTTTACTAGTAGGAGTTGTGAAACTACTCTTTTTATTTTTTATTTTTTATTTTTATTTTCTTATTTTTGTAATTTTGTTCAATATTCTTGTACTTATTGATATTAAAAATAAGACTATTTGCACAGTAGAAATATGAAACTATTACCATTCAATTTGTCTCAATGAGATGATTCTAACAAGTTGTGTTACATCTATTTACAATCATTGGATGTTGAGCAATTTATTATATTCTTTACATATTAAACTATAACTATAAACAGTACTTTTTAATATGAAATTTTTGAAAATAAGTATAATAGTAACGATAGATGTATTGTAACTATATAGAATAGATTTTAATAATAAAATGTTTTAAACATCCAACTGATATAACTATATAGTAGAATGTGATTATAATAAGAGTGACTATAAAAGGAATTGACTATATAATATTTTGAAAGATCAAAATAATACTTCATATAAGTCAATCCAATTTGAGCTAACTTAGACAATTTTATAGTACTATTTTAATATTAGAATAGCATCAAGTTAGATTCTCAAATTACTGTATATGATTTTCAAAAATTTTAATCAATTTGCAGTAAAATTAGATTAATTTAAACTGATACTATAATGTAATCTTAGTCTAATCTTTAGAATGCAATATTTCACCATTCAGGAATCTATTCAGTATACATATAGGTTAGATCAGGAGTTTTTAAATAAGCCTAAATCATATAAATTTGATCACTAGATGCCAAAATATTATACTTTAATATTAGGCTGAAATTTCAGTATAATGTTAGCCAAAATTAATCATAGATTTACTGTACCATTTGATACAATATTTTTTTTTCATCTCAATGCAGATTTATTTATTACTATAGATCCATATAGGATCCCACTTACTTATAAGATAGGTCACCTCCAGCCTTAAAGTCATATGAACTATAAATAGATCAAGAAAATAAATATCAAGACACTACTATATGTATTGCCACTATGCTATTTAAGAAATAAACACCAAGATACTACTATATATATTACCACTATGCTATTCAAGAAAATAAAAGCTTTATTACCAAGCAATGTTCATTTGACCAGACTTTTTCTCATACTTTAAGAGAGTTTATTTAAAACGTTTCAGGTAGATTTTGAACTGGCTGAAGAGATCCCATTACTCAAAAGTAAAAATTATATATAAATTCTTTGCAAATTCTACTATAAAAGAAAATTTTATGTTACATTGGTATGATTTTTTTTCTTTTTAACTAATTAACTAATAGAATTTAAGAAAAAAGTAAGGTAAAAATCATTAGTAAAGAGCCAATTTTCTACAGTGATCTTTATTATAAGTAAGTGAGGTCCTATCCATATAAATCATATATTATAATTTGAAAAATAGATCTGAATCATTTAGACTTTTCCTAATATTTATTGCACAATTTTTTTTACCTTAAAAGACCATCAAACAGGTATAAAAGAAAAGCATTCTTGACATCTTAACAGATAACCAAAGATACTCAAAAGTATGTAAACAAATAAATAGCTCTTTATTAATAAAAAAATCACAGAACATTGATAACAAGTAAATAGCTAAAAGGTAATAAAAAGGTGATAAAGTAATAAAAATATGTAAATAGCTATAAGATAACAAGAAGAGTACAGAGGAATAAAATTAAACAGATATCAACCTGGTTGTAAAAGACTATAGAACACTGAAAGTAGTATTGTTATGTACAAGTCAAATTGAACCAGAACCAATGAGATCAACTTGGTTCCAAGTCAGACTAAACTGGACCATTAACAACACTAGCTGAATTAGATAACATTATACCAACAATCTTAAATTCACTATAAAAAGGAAGTACATTAATATTTGTAAAAATAATTATATTATCCAAAGAGCACATTGTTTAGCAATACAGTAATAAGTGACAAATAGCATCAGAGCACGTCCACGGTTCACGCACGTCGCAGAAATAATTAATATAAACAACGCGATCTCGCCAATCACGTGATCAGTGACAGTTAAACATCACGACCCGGAGATATATATATATAGGCGGGGAAATTTTGACTGCTGTAGGGAAACAATCAATTCATTCTCTGACTGCCAATTTGTTCAATAGTTACAAGGATTCTAGATTAAATAAAACGTTCCTATAGGATATATTTTTGCACACGACATTTGTGATATTTGAGACACGTTATTATTAGAAATACGCGTTTTAAGCGTGATACGTATAATTTTCTACGCCATGAGAGGTTTAAACGCGCAGCATACTACGCCGTTCGATCATTCGATCAACAGAAAAGTTTTTTTGACTACACAAGTACAGTACTACATCGGAAGTCTCTTGACGATTTTAGTAATCAACCATTTGATTAAAGTGCTGATTCAGGAACTTCAAAATATTTAAATGGTCAGATTTGACTCTCTTGCTCATTTTTATTGCTCTTTCTCTCTCGAACTTTCGTTCGCTGAAAAACTACTTTTTTGTAAGGTAATATCTTCGTTTCTATGAAGTTAATATATAACGACGCGTTTATATTTTCGAAACGTTCTGAAATGACTTTTTATTGAATGTTTCTTTTTCATAAAACAGATAAACTTTAGGTAAAACTATCATCAATATTATTAAAGTAAGCTTAATAGAAATATAACGTGTGTTTTCATCCTTGTATTAAAATTTTTGCTTTTTCCTCTCCATTTATTTTAAATATTCCCATCTAAGCCATGGCATCCAAATTACCTATTGAATGTCTTAGAAGAATTTTTGAAGAGCTTACCAAAAGTGATCTAACCGTCGATCCTTTTACTCATAATGATGCAATTGTTTATTCAAATCTAAATTATCTTTACTCGTGTGTCTTGGTAAATCGAACCTGGTGCAATACTGCAATCCCTTTGCTCTGGAAAGATCCTCTGCACTGGCTATCTATTAAAGACGATGATTTTATAAAGCAAGTGGTTGTACCTTGGAAGGATCAATTGCGTTTCCACGTTCCATTCACCTATGCAAAGTCTGAAAAATTACCATTACTCATTTCAACTTATTTTGCATGTTTGCCGGAAAAAAGTCGACGTAGTTTGAAAACCAACAAGGCTTTTAAATTGCCGGAAGATATAATTGAAACCACAACTTTTTATGATTATCCGTTCTTTTTGAGAAGATTGAACTTGCCTACATTAGTAAACGCCGTTTCAATGTGGACTCAACAACATCATTCAACTGATGAACCATTAGACGAGGATACAGAATCAGAGGATGTTCTTTCAGCGGATGTATTAACAGAAAAGCTCATAAAATTGTTTATGGAAAAAAGCACTAACCTGGAATATCTCAGTTATATTAAACTACCTGTTTCTTTACATAATGACGTTGGACACATTAAGATTAATATAGCAGGATTCCCAGGCTCAAAAATAGCCTTAGCAAATATCACGTCTTTTCACTTTAACGCATGTGCTATCAAGAAACCTGAAAATTACTATGTGAGTCTATCACGTATATGTCATTCTATTAGAAATTTAGAAATTCGATGTCTTTGTAATGATAGCAAAGGATTGGCTGCACTTATAGGGTCACAACGGGGACTGGTAAAGCTTTTGATCCATGGAGCGAATTATTATTATGGAATCCACAATGGTTACATTCCAAAATATAGCTACCGATATATTACTAAAGCATTATATAATAAAGTTAGTGATCTCACTTATTTAAATTTTCAATGTAATGGGATTCCACTGGAAACATTTGCGTCTTGTACAAAATTAGAACAATTAATATTACATGCTAATTATTACCAAAATGCCGATAAATTCATCAAGTCAGATTTTTCACATTTAAAATCATTACTCATTAAAGATGGTTCATTTTTGATAAATCATCAAACCAACATTATTCAAAATTCTGGTGGTTATATATCAGAAATTGTAAATTCTATGAATGAACCGAGAGATCCGGATAACCTAACAAAATTTTATGAAACAGTTATTGACTTCTGCCCTAGATTAACTATTTTGGAGTATTACATATGCAAGGATCAAATTTCATTAATACCTATCTTGTTCAACAAGTGTAACCAACTTCGAAAATTAGCTTTACACTCTACAGATATGCAAACCGAAACCGTTGAAATTAACGATGTTTTGTCAAAAATGGGAGAGGAAATTCCCGAGCAATTACGGATGATTGAAATTCCATGGCATTTTAAATTTTCTGCTGACTCTTTGGAATCCTTTTTAAAAGGTTGTCAAAGAAGACTGAAAGAACCATTGCAATTTGAGCCTTCTATTTCCACGGATGAACAAAAAGAAATATTGGATCGATATATCGACATTGGCGTGTTGAAGAAAAACTTGAGTAATTATTAAACTTCTTTTTTTTTTATGATATTGTATTTATTTTATTTATTTTTTATAAGTTAATTAGATTTCTTTTATTTAAATTAAAATTTATTTAGATATGATATGAGAATAGAAAAACAATAAAAGAAAAATATGTAAAATATATATATACAAAATTAGTATATTGATGAAGTGGAGATAAGTATCAAAAAATTTTTATAATAAATTTAGGCTTATAAAAGCATCACGAATAATTTGATGCTATAAATTTAATATATTTTATAATCTTTATAATCTAAGAATCTTTACTTGATTGGTCTTAACAATGATCAAAAAGTCTAAATCGAATCAAAAAATTAACTAATACGAAATTATAAGTAAATGAGCTTTTAATCAAACACACAACTTTTCAAAATACCATTCTTTTTAAATCTATTACAAACATTTATGATTAATTCATTTGAAGTAACGATATTCAGATAATCTAAAGGATATTTCTTGTTTTTGCTCCAACTTTCCAAAAATTCACTTAAATTTTCTTTAGTAAATTTCCAATTTTCTTTAAAAGTTAACTTCGACAAATCAGGCAAAATATTATTATTCACTAAAATATCAAAAATGTTTCTAACATCTACTATGTTATTATTTTCTACAGATTCAGTATATTCAGTAGATATAAATTTAATTTCTTTCAAAAATCTACATTTCTTTAAGAATGATTCCAAATTTAATAAAATATCTTTTCTAACCCATACTACAACAAATTCTAAATATGGACAACATTGAGAGATAATACGTAAATAATTATTTATAGATTCTGTTGTAAGATATTTTGGATATAAATCAAGATCTATTATCTTCAGATGAGAAAGATTTCCTTGGGAAGAAGATGATGATAAAATAATATTTGATAAAGAATTTAAAGCTATAGGTAATGATTGATGTTGATAAATATAAGAATGTAACGTATTTAAATTAGGTAAATTAATAACTAATTTGTTAAAATCAAAATCTGATTCCGATGGTATATTTATAGCAAATTCTTCACAATTAACTAAAGAATTAAAAATTTCAGGAGGAATGCAAAGTTCATAATCAATATTTATAGAGGTCAAAGTATTTGATTGTGTCAATAGTGCATCACCTATTAAAGGACATAATATATTATTATTATTTGATTTTAATACAATTCTTTTTAATCTCTTTTGGGACTTGATAAGTTGAGCTAGACCTTTATTATCCTGAAAACAATTAATTATTAACTCTTGTAAATTATGACAAATTTCTGATAATTCCAAGAAATAAATATGATGAATGAATGTTGAACAAGTCAACTTTACCAAAGAAGGCAAGCAAGTTTTTGTTCCATTAAAATGACAAATTGAATAATTTGGAAGATTTAGATTAAGTCTATTACAATTATTCATAAACAAATTCCAAAAAGTTCCTTGTAATAAGTTATATCTATTTAATTCATAATATTCAACAAGAATTCCTTCTATAAGAGATTCAATAACATCTTTTGAAAGGATTTTTATATAAGAGATATAATTAAATAAAGGATGATTTGAAAATTTTGATTGTGTATCAATTATTCCTTTTTCATAAAGAATTTTTTTAAAATGAGAATCACAATTTGAAAAAAGAAATTGTTTCGAATTTGAATCACAACATAATAAAATGGTTCTCGATAAATTTTCCCAGGAGTTTGGATTGGTCCACGGATTTTTCCATAATAATGGGATTGTAATTTTACACCATGATGTATTTACAAATAACAATTTATGTAATGATTTTTTTCTTTGTGTTACACAATTTTCTATTATAACTCTGATAATATCTTCACAAATATAAGGAGTCATTTTCGATAAAATTTATAAAATAATGAAAAAAAAGGTGAAAGGAAAAAGAAAATTGGATACTTTTTTATATCCAAAAATCATGCCCAAATTTAGATCTTAAATGAGCCCGTTTGAATTTTGGCGTAATGAAATTTTTTCCCAGTCTAATATTATTTTACTTATATAACGTCATTTCATTCCAACATCATCAAATCATATGATGATATGAATGAATTTTATTAAAAAAGATTTATGGTCACGTAAATCAAAATGAGTGGCTATTATTAAATATGTATATTTCCGCAATTTCCGTGTTACACCGGCTTTTGATTCTAAGAATTTCATCAATTTTATAAAATATCCCGTTTTTTGTTTCATTCAATAATAGATAACAAAAAATTTTTTTTCCTTTGGGTAACCTTTGATAGCATACTTATACTTAAAACGAATGATTTGACTGATAAGATAACGAGTTTCTATCGTCCGCCTTATCGCAAATGACAATCATCGAGTGGCGTAGTATCAATTTTGAAATAAAAAGTTCGTCCTACCAGGTGAGGTTTATAAAAAGAAGAGAAATGTCTATAACTAAACATTATAGACTAATTAAATAAATTAGTAAATTATACCTTTAACTTTAATCTAAATTACTGTATATTCGATTTTATAGTGACGGTATCTTTGGTCGCAAGATAAAAGTTTATTATTTATTTTTATCTAAAGGAATTCTTTGATTATCTATCGATAAATAATATTTTAACGTGAAATGACTTTGCGTACCAATACGCGCTAAAAACGGTTGGTCTAACCAAATCTGGGTAATTCTTACGCGTGTTGCATAATCTCACGGAACAACTAAATTTGTTAGAAATCCGTAGTACGTTCTCATGATTATTTATTATTACCGTAAGGTATAGCATAGCGCCTTTATCTTTATTAATTTTATTAAGAAATTTACAATTAAACGAAAATACATTAAAAGAATGAATTTAAATTTCGTTCATCCCAATTTTGCTTAAAAGCAGCCGAATTAAATTTAAGTCAAGACGAAATATTATGCATTAGTATACATTAACTTATTAGTTCTAAGTATCAGGAACAAAAAAAATTTGCATAGGGGGATGAATAAACATGAGACCTCCATGAGGATTTCCGAAAGCTTTGGTGGTCTCGGAATATACAAATCGAAATCCGAACCTAGTCCGAACCATTCAAATTTATTGAAATTTGAAAGCATAAACGTTTTTTTACTCGTTTGTTTGTTTGTTCATGTGTAAAGAGTCTTAAATGTTAGAGTTCTTCAACACTCAATACATTTGGGAATAAATAATTTTTCCGGATCTAAATAAAACTTTACTTAAATTAATAACGTTAACTCTATTCTTATCATTTGCTGATCTGCTTACTCTTACTATAAAAATATTTTCTTATGTAATATTATCGCCTGATTCAATATTACTATGTCTCCTGATTTTGACTGCTGTTATCCGATTACTATTATCGTTCAGCCAAATAGGATCATGCAGATTTTCATAGAGCAACAATACATGATTATAATGGTGTTAAATAATTAAATGTAAAGCTTACTTATAATGTTATAATTAATGCATGACAGAATGATAACACTTTTATTGGATGTTTATATCGGTCACAGGGCCCTTCATTGGTGAAAATGGCCACTACATGATCCTTTGATGAAATTTAAATCACTACTATTCATTCAAAAAAAAAAGATAAACATAAGTGTAAACGTACAATGATAAACCAGATTAAGCTTAATAAAACTATGTTTTTAAATTTCCTGTAAAGTATTTTTTAATAAAGTAGTAGCAATTCAAAGTTGAAATATTTTACTATTGAATTAAATATTTGGTGACCAGAATTATATGTAAATCTGGCCAAAATTACTTTCGTTTAATTATTAACTATGTAAATCTGGCTAAAATTATGTATAATTCTGGCTAGAATTAAGAATTATAACTCAAATTAAACCAATAAAATTACAGGGTTAAGTATTACATAATATAAAAAATTTGGCCGCTTAAAATTTTTTTTGTTGGGATTAGGTTGTATGCACTATATCATTATTATTGTTTCAATTCCTTTTTTGAAGTTATTTACATTAAAATTAAATTATTATATAAAAGTATAAATGAAAATTTATTATATTTATTATAAAGCTTTTTCCTTATTTATGTCTTAAATTAGAAAATTCAATTTAAAAAGAAAATGCAATTCAAATACAACAATTTTATTTTAATTTCTAAAGTTTTTTCTATTTTTACTAATTGACAAAAATGTATTTATATTTAAAAAGTTTTAAATATAAAAAAAAATTTGTAATATTTGAAAAATTTTTCTTGTTTTTTTTCTTATAATTTTAAATGATTTTTTTTTTTACCTTTTTTTAATATATTTTATTTAAAAATAAAAAAATATATAAAATTATTACTTATAATATAATTTCAAAAATTTTGCAATATACCAATATTTTTCAAATTAAATATTTTTTCTTACAAGAATTTTGAATAAAAAATTTTAAATTTAATTAATTTTAAAAGTTTTTTTTATTAATATTTCATTTTTAATATAACTTAAAAAGTTTGAAATAGTGTTTAATTTTAAAAAATAATTAATATTAAAACAATTTAAATATCATTTATATTTTAAATACTTTATTTATATATAATTTATAATCACGTATTTTTTCTAAACAAATTTCTTAATTCTTAGAAATTTTACACAATTCTAATTATCCCTAAAAATCATCCTTTTTGGAATAAAAACTGTGGTTTATTATTTTTAAATTAAGCAACATGTTGAATATGAAAGAAAATAAAGCAGCAAAATATTGACAGTACTTTCTTTTTATAAAAAAAAACTACACTGGTAAAAAAATGGTCTATCCTATACATATCCTACACATATCTTACATATATCGGGTACTCAAAATGTAGAAAATCATACACAAATAATATACATATCATATACATATCTGGTACTTATATATATATTATACCTATCAGGTACCTGATATATGTATGATATATATATTAGTACCCAATATGTGTATGATATGTGTATTATTTGTGTATGATTTTCTACATTTTGAGTACCCAATATGTGTAAGATATGTGTAGGATAAATCATTTTTTTACCAGTGCTATGAAATCTATAAATAATAATAACCATTAAATTATCATTATTGACAATTTAAAGAAAAAAAATGTTTGATATAACAATCATAACATAGTTTTATTTATTGAATTTTTACATACAAGCCACAGTTTTATTCCTAAAAGAGTGATTTTCAGGATAAAAAATTTAATTTAGAATTGTGTAAAATTCCTAAGAATAAGGAAATTCTTTTAGGAAAAATACATGATTATATATAATTTGAAAATATAAATGATTTTATTAAAATTAAATAAATAAAAATATTAATCAAATATTATTAGAATTATAATAAAAATATTATAAATATATTTTTAAATTTAAAGAAAAAGTAAATAAAAATACTATTAAAAAAATGTAAAATATATATATTAAGTAAATTATAATCTAATATTAATAAACTCACAAATTGCATTACCTTGGAAAAAAAAAAATTATAATATAATATATTTATATTTATTAATAATCTGAAAATTTGTTTATTTAATACTTATAAAAAATATTTGCTGATTAGATAAAATACTTTATATTTTATAAAAATTTATTTTTTTTAATAGAATTTTTCAAAAAAAATTATAATAATATAATAATAATAAACTTATATTTAATTAAACTAAAAATATTAACTGTAATTTAAAAAGTAACAAAATAAAATTTTTATACAGATAGTGGCTTAAATGATTTAGCCAGTCAAAATTATACAGATTATTATATATTAATATAATAAAAATATATAATTTTATATTAATAATGTCAATAAATAAATGTCTATACAATGACACCTCTATAAGTGCACTTTTTATAAGTGCACATATTAGGGATTAGAATCGATTAATCGAAAATTGACAAAACATAGTAAAATCGATTCTCGAGAATTGATTCTCAGCAATTTTTTACATGTAAGTTAACCTGACTCCAAAGTAATTTTTCATGCCGGCCAAGTGCTGATTATTTTTGCTGAAATTAGAAACTGATTCAAAGTCAGGTTGGTCGTCTATAAGAAAAATCTTGAAAAAATTCAATTTTCGATACCAATCCCTAGCACATATTATATAAATTTTCTTTAACAAGTGTACAGTGAATCTAATCCTAACTTATAAGAACTCTTAATATTTTACTCTCTATAAATGCATACCTTCTCTAAGTGCATATTCTATTATTTTTTATTATGATCTCAAGAAAGATACACTTAGAGAGATGTCACTGTATTTCATTTGTTTCTTCATATCATTTCAGAATTTTTGGAAATATAAAACCATTTTATTGCATGAATTTTTACAATTTATATAACAAAAAATTTATAAGATTAAAAATATTATAATTTAATCAATATCAATTAGATCATCATAAATTTGCTACTATCTAAATTATCTTAATGAAACAAATCTAATAAACTAAAAATTATGAAAATCCAATTATCAAAAACAAAAGATATTATAAAAAAAGTTTAAATTTAATGTTTAAACTTTTTAAAATATAATTACATGTCAAAATTGAATCTTACAAATGCAAAATTATTATTATTCTAATCCTTTTAATAAGACAAATATAATAAATTTAAAATTATAAAATTTAATCACTAAATGATTTTTAAATTTAAATTATATAAATTTACAAAGTTTTAAAAACTTGCATAATAATTACGAATCTATAATTATAAAAAATATTATTCTATATAAAGATTTATGCAATATTATATTTATTATAATTTATTAAATTTTATAATAAAAGTATTTAAGAAGAACATTGAAATCATATAGAAAATATTTTTCTAGAATATTATAAAAAATTTATTACTAGCATATTTTAAAATTAATGCAACCAATTGCAAATAAAGATAAAATTTATTATTAAATTTTTATTTAAATTAATAAATAAAAATATAATGATTATATTTAGCAGTTAAAATTTTATTTTTAATATATAATATATATATAAATTTTTTTGCATTAAAAAGTAGCCAAATTATTTAGATTACTGCTAAATTTTAAGAATAATTAAGGCTAAGATCTTTAATATTAATTTTATTTAATTTAAATTAATTATATTTTTAATTATATGTAAAATAAACTATTTTATTAGTAAAAATATATTTATTAAAAAAAATCACTATTAATTATTAAATGATTTATTAATTATATTTTGATTATTTGAAATAACTTAAAATTTTATTGTATAAATTTATATATAGTAATTTCCTATTGTAAGTTAATTATTATACATTATATATTTTTCTAAAAATTACAAAAGAAAATTAAGAAAACATACTTTTGATTAGTAACTTTATATAATATTTTTCTTTTTGAAAAATTACTTTATTATTTCCAATTTTTCACATAAAATAAATAATACAAATACTTTAACCTAAGATTATTAATACCTAAAAAGGTTAATATAATATGATTAAAGTTGCTTGTTAAAATTATTTTTCTATTTTGTATTTTGTCATTTGTGTTTTGGTCAACTTTAATAAAATAATTTTACCATTTTATTATATTAAAATTTAGCATTAATCTTTTTATTTTTTGGTAAGCAACTTTAAATATAATAAAAGAAAATTCTTTAAATTACAATAAAATTCCAAAACATTTATTATATATAATATAGGTAACATTGTTAAAATTTTTATATAATATTTATCCATTAACCACTTATTCAATTTTTTTTGGTTCAAAGTTCAGAGATATTCCCTTGTAATACGCCACGCTATAGCTCTAGCCAAAAAGTCACGTGGAAATGGACTACTAATAAATCACGTGTTTATTATGAATGCTACATTAAACCTAGCATTACGATAAATTTCACAAAAGCAACAATAATTTAAGTTTTAGAACAATAATTTCAAAAAATTCAAGTTTTAGAACAATAATTTCAAAAATTCAAGTTTTAGAACAATAATTTCAAAAAGTCAAGTTTTGGAACAATATAATTTCAAAAAGTCAAGTTTTGGAACAATAATTTCAAAAAAGTCAAGTTTTGGAACAATATGATTTCAAAAAAAGTCAAGTTTAGGTTCAAATAAATAATCAATTTTTTTTTTTTATTAAATATATGTATTGTATATATATATATATTATAAAAAGTCTATGTGAGAATAAGGAAAAAATGTGTATATGCGGATCTACAGAATGTATTTAAAAAAAAAAAAAAAGTAAAAAAAATTTACGATTCAGATTTTGCCGATTAATACGAAAAGTTAAAAAAAAAAAGAATTTTCTTGAGTTGTCATAACTTAAAAAAGGTTTTGCCATACGAATTATTTGCCATAGAAAAAATTAAAAAAAGAAAAAATTAAACTTAAATATGAATTATGAATTAAAAATTATTAATGAAAAAAAAGTGCGGAGTTAGGGTAGGAAAGAAAATGCATATGAAAAATGATGAATTTGAATGATTATATGAAAAAAAGTATTCTATAAATGCATCCTGTAACGGGTTGAAACTTTTTAATCATCTATTTATTGTAAGGGAAGAAAGATATTATCGTGCAGAGGAAAAAAAAGGTTATATACAAAAAAAAAATATGTTACGAAAAAAAATGGAGGAAGATCTTTTCGCCTATGACGAAAAAGGTCCAACCAATATTTTGTGAAAAAAAAAAAAGAATAGTTCTAACTTTAATAAATGTTACAGGTTTGGGTTGTTTTTTTTTTAAAAAATACGAATTTGAATTTGTTTTTTTTTTGAAAATAATAAGTCTAAAATTTATATAAGAAACGAATATATATACGAAATGTGTGTAAATTGCGACGAATATGCGCGTTTCCCACCCTGGAAATATAAAAAAAAAAAACCAACGAAGTGAAAAAAAAATATTGTTTTCCAAATGTCCGTTATGATTAAATATGTTATATATTTACGAAAAAAAATGTTCTTTTGATATAGATATATATTTATATAATATTAAGTTATTGTTTTTTTAATAACTTCGGAGCATTCCTGGGTTAAGCATTTTATAACCTTCTTCACCATCATATCTAGTTTTTTTTACGGGTCTTCCCAATCGATGAACTCTAAGATGACGGCGCATATTGCTTTGTACGGAGAATTTTCGTCCACAACCAGGTTCAGTACAAACAAAAGGTTTTTCACCAGTATGTGAATAAGTATGAATTCTAAGAGAACTTGGACGTGAAAATCGTTTTGAACAATATGGACATTGATAACGATTTCCAGAAGAACCAGTTGGAGATAATTGACCAACGAAACTTTTATGAGAAAAGTGTTTTGGAGGAGCCAAACTTTCCAAAATTGTATTCAAACGTGGAAGAGAAGGGGGAGTTGGTTTACGATCATAAGGAGATAATGGGGCATAACTATATCTCTGTGGTTGAGGTTGAACATATTGGGAGTAAACAGGGGCAGGAACAGGGGAGGGGACAGGAGCAGGAGCAGAATAAACAGGAATTGGTTTAATGCAGCAACTGCAAGATGGTTCTTCATATGATCGATTAATTTGTTGAGTTTGTTGAGTTTGTTGAGGAGCAGCAATATATTCATATCTTTGTTGGGTTCCGTAATTTTGATAACCAGATGATTTCATATCAGGTGATTCAGGTGGAGAAAGTAATGATCTAATACTGGTATGTTGAGAAGCATTCGAATTTAATTTATTATGAGCATTTATCGCTGCGAGATGATGAGCATCAGTCGATTGTGGGGAAACGGTTGGATAAGTTGGAGAAGGAACAGTATGAGATGGGGAATAACCTCCGCTAAATGGCGAGCAAACTGAATAAAAACAAAAAAAATTTTTTAGTAAATATAAACTATAATTATAAATAATTAAATAATTAAATAATAATTATTATTTACCTTCTTCAACGGGGGATCCAAGAAGAGTTCTAATTGGAGGAAGATAAGTAGTTTGATTTTGATTTTGCATCTTCGAATTTCGTTATTATAGAAGCGGTTTAGTAATAAAAATCTTTTTGTTCAAAAAAATCGATTAACCGATTATATAATTTTAACCTAATCAAATTACACATGATCTTTAGTTATCTAGATCGACAAATTTATAATAGAGTATCATGCACTTCAATATATTATATCATTTTATATTTGGGATTTTCATTAGTTTATGATGATGATCTACATAAAAGTCGTCGGAAATTGAGGAAAATTATAATTTGAAACCCTTTAACACACGCGTATAACAACCTGTTTTTTTTATGTTTGCCCGAAATTAAATTTTTAGATACATTTGAAAATCATTTGATGATCATATAAATTCCTTTTTGTAATTCTCTCTTATTTATTCGCAACGGTAATAAGAGATTGATTTCGGTATTTCTTTGTTGCATTAATGAAAATTCCGGAATATACCGACTTTTTTTAATACAACGTTATACTGCATAGAAGATCTCATTTTATTATTATTATTATTATTATTATTATTATTATTATTATTATATTTTATTATATTTTATTATATTTTATTTTATTTTATTTTATTTTATTTTTTTTACAAATGTAATAAAGTGATCATCAATTTTCTAAAAAACAAGCGGTTAAAAGATGATCGGACATTCCGAACGTCATGTGAAGTTATTTATATAATAAATAATAATAAATACAAAAAATGACAAATATGATATGGAAATATGATCTTCCGATTTTAAAATTCCCATTAATTCCTATTTTTAAATTTGAATATTCCATCTTGTTTTGTAAAAAAAATGTCCTCCAATATAATCAAAAAGATCCCCGAGATGGTTCATGATTTGTTTATTATTATTATTATTAATATTTATTTTATTTTAATTTTAATTTTACCTATTTCTGTTCTTTTTAACTAAATGACGATTCGTTTCATTCTTAATCTTCATCATCTACACATAGGATTAATAATAATGTCGGTCGTAAAAAAAAATTAATTAATTTTATACAAATTTTTTTTATCCAGGAAATGAAGCGTTTCATAAGTTTTGAAACGATTTTTTTTTTCCTTTTTCCTTTTTCCTTTTTTCCTTCTTTTTAATTTCCCCTTTTTTTTTTTTTAAAAAAAAAAAAAATTTTTTGTTTGAAAAAAAATTTCTTGTTGAAAAAAAAAGGGGATGAAATGTTGACGTCAAACAATTTGAGTCTTCGTCATTTTTTTTTTTATTATTTACGCGACAGGAAATTTTTTGCTGCGCGACACAATAATAAACATCATATCAATAGTTCTGGGTAATAAAACGCCATAAACTTAGCTATTTAAGGATCCGAAACCCCGAGAGGAATATCCAAATATTTATGTAATCGATAAAAAAAATTTGTCCAATTAATAAGACATCCGATATTGAACATCCAATGAAGTTGTAACAATGTAAATTAATAATCAAGTAAAAAAGAAGAAAAAATAACTTATAACTTATATTTTAATTACCTTGCATTTTAAAAAACAAAGAAAATCTAATTAATGAAAAAATATTCGACGTTTTATGCGAAGTAAATCGAAGAAATATGAGGGATCTACGAGGAATTTCAATTCATTGCATATGCATGCTTAAATATATTTTACATACAAGAATTTTATTTCTTAATTAGGAAACTTTTTTAAATTAAATCATTACCATACTAATATTATATGAAAAAAAACTTGGCTTTTGATTACATACATTTTTGATACGAATGTTTATTTGATAACGAATAAGATATGATGTTTTATCTGATAGGAAATAACGCGATAATCCGGATATAAGATATGAATAAACTTTTTTGTGTGTGAGTATTTAAGTATTTTGTGTATGAGTAAATTTTATCGCGTGTTAATAGTTTGTTTATGATGTGAATATGAAATGAGTCAAATACTCAAATACTCAGTATTCGTATTTGAATATATTCGTGTGAGTAGTAGAATTAATAGATACAATAGATATTGAATTATTTACTATTTAATATTATACTAACATACTGTATACATGTTTATATATAAACAACAATATATAATATTTATCTTTAAATATTTGTTTATGTACTTCCCACATGAGATTCGTGTTTATAGAATTCCTAAGGAAACCTTTTTGTTGATAACACGTAATTTTTTTTACCTAGAAATCTAATTCAAGAATTATCGGATTTACCGATGATGAAAATGATGACTGATAAGATATCAAAAAAAAAAATCCCGATTTATCCAGAGTAAAATGGGTAAAACATAACAATAATTATAATTTTTCTCTGAGAAACTCTGAAATTAAATTTTTTTAACATAAATAAATAAAAAAATATAAAAAAATATATACATACTGTGTGTGTACTGTATATATATATATATATATATATATATACAATATAATACAATATAATTATATATATATAATATATATATACAAAAATATATAATAATATATAATATAATATATATAAATAAAATAAAATAAAATAATTAAATAATAAATAAATTAAAATTAATAAAAGAAAAAAGATGATTTGTTTATAGTTACAAGGGTATGTATTCAACATTTTCTGTTGTACAAATAAACTTGTGATCTTCGCCACATCCTCCTCGTGGTTTTGAGTTCTTTGTTTGATTTTTATAAAAATAATATCCGAATTATTTTTTTATTATTTACAAGTAATTTAAAATTTTTATTTAGAGATAATCCGGCAAATTATTTCTACCTACGGTTAAACTTCATGCACGTCTTTTAGAAAGATTCACGAATTAAAATGATACTACATTATATTCTCTACGAAAAAAAAAATGCATGTACTCAATGGAAAACTTGTTAAGAAATTAGGTTTAATTTTCATGGATTTTCTTTTGCTCAATTGTTATGATAATCATGACTTACTTTTTTAAGGACAATCCGTAAATTAAAGGAGTTCCTTTTACCTTTGAAAATTAATTACGAAAATCTCATCATTTTATCTCATTTATTAATTGTACACTTAATACATTTTTGTACATATGTCATACAGAAATCTTTAAAAGAATAAAATAGAAAAAAAAAAAGTTGATTACTAAATCAAATTTCAAACAATTTAATAATCATCTGATATTCCATAACCTCCTGACAATTTTTAAAACGAACGAAATTTTTTTTTTTTTTTTTTTCATTTGTTTGGAACTTAATAAAAATAGCCTGATACAAATAAGGAAGTTTTAAGTATGATTTGCATTTTTCCAACCAATCAATTAATAATGTGATGATAATCATTTATTTGAATGCACGACCTTTATTAGTCCGGTTAATTATAATTTAAATTATTTTTTTTTTTGAAATATATTTTGATTATGTTGTATTTCCAAAATGTAAATTAGAGCAATTTATCAATTTATCCGCAAATTTATCCGTAATTCATTCTATTAATAATAATAAAAAGAAATTATTCAATTAAATTACCTAATTCGAAGTTCAAATATTTCTTTTAAGCATTAATAACATTATCTGTTATTATTATTAAAAAAAAAAGTTCATAGAAAGAATTAAAATCGAAAAAATTTTTAAATCCAATCAAAAAATTTAATTTTAATTTTTGTTTTGATTTAATTCAAATTTCAATTTAACTTTATATGTTATAAATCAATTAATATAAAAATTAACAAATAAAAAAAAAAAAAATTATTATTATTTTATTGTTTTAGCAGATAACATTCGAAATTTCTTTTATTTTCTTTAATATGCATAATAAATGTTTCAAAAAAACCACGGAATGTATTATACTAATATGTATTAACAATGATGTCAATGATGACAATTCTGTCCACAATAATCCACAGCCATAATGATACTTCCAACTATAACCATAATAATAATAATACTAAATATACACTACCCCCTTATTATACGTTAATACGTACAAATTACGCCCACCTAAACTATAACCTATAACAAATAATAACCACAACCTACCATACTACCCATAATATTNAAAATAATTCGTTTCATCTATTTTTTTTTTTTTTTTAAAAAAAAAAAAATAAATGAATATCATTAATTTATTGTTTTAGCAGATAACATTCGAAATTTCTTTTATTTTCTTTAATATGCATAATAAATGTTTCAAAAAAACCACGGAATGTATTATACTAATATGTATTAACAATGATGTCAATGATGACAATTCTGTCCACAATAATCCACAGCCATAATGATACTTCCAACTATAACCATAATAATAATAATACTAAATATACACTACCCCCTTATTATACGTTAATACGTACAAATTACGCCCACCTAAACTATAACCTATAACAAATAATAACCACAACCTACCATACTACCCATAATATTATTATTACACACTCTTCGTTATCTTTCTTTTAATATTTGAATACCTATTCAATACACCTCTATTAATATATTTCGAAATAATTCTTTTATATTCCTTCCTATTCTCACAAATTTTTTTATATTTATATTTAATTAATAAATTTTTTATAGAACTCTTTTCACAATTTCTTAAAAATTCATTAAAATATTTTCCACTCCAATTAATTTCATTTTGATAAATAAAAAAATATTTCAAATTTTTTAAATTTTTTGGTAAAGTTTCTCCTATATAATTTAATGATTTTGTTATATCTTTATCATCCATAATATCTAAATTAATCATCTCCAATTTATTACATGATTCTAATATTAATGGTATATATTGTAATGTTCTTTTTTTAATTTTTAATTCAAAATTTTTTAATTTTAAACAATATTTTGCTATATTTTTAAATAAATTTTTTTCATTATAAAAATTTCCATTATCTAATGATATTGATAATTCTATTAAATTTCCATTTGTCTTTTTAATAATATTTGAATATAATACCAAATCTATTCCAATCATTGTACTTGATAAAAATCTTAATTTGGTTATAAAAGGTAAAAATTCAAATTTACTCCATGATTTAACTATATCAATTGAATCAATTCCTGCATTAAGAATTATTAATCCTTTGATTTTATCCAATGTCATAGAAAAATCTAATGATCTTATATAAATATCTGATGAAATAATTATATGATAATTATTTGTTATATTAAAAGTTTTTGTTATAATTTCTGGATTATATGATTCATAATATTCAACTTTCATAATATTAATTTTTTTTAATCCAGATATAAAATCTATTAATCCTTCAATCATTTTATCTTGTTCATGTTTACATTTAATTCTAATATTATTAACTGATAATATTAATTTACTTAAATCTTTAAAAACTTTATCTGGTATATTGGTATGAAATTCTAAATTTTCCAAATTTATAAATGGTATTATTGTTAAATTTTCTAAATATGAATAATAATTTATATTATTATTATTATTATTATTATTAAAAAGATTTTCAAAATTATTATTTTTAAATTTTAATTGAAATTTTAAATTTGTTGAATTTTTAATAAAATTATTAAAAATTTCTTTATATAATAAATTTCTTTTCATTTCAGATTTTTCATCATTAAAATGATATGCTATTATCATATTAATATCTTGTGTTTCTAAAATTTCCATATCAAATTCTTCTTCTTCTATATTTAATATCCAATATATTAATTTTGTAAATAATTCTGTTAAATTTAAATTTTTTAATAATGATTCATAATTACATAATGTAATTATTGATTTTTGTTTTAAATTAATTATATTATTTTCATAAAGTAATTCTTTTGATTCTTTTGATAATGATAATATATAAGTTGTAATCAATTTTTTTGATGTTAAAATATTTTTTTTATAAAATTTTCTTAAAGTATTTTGCCATAAAAGTATTATTGCATTTGAAAACCAATATCGATTTACAAATAAACAATTATATAAATCACGATAAAAATATTTATGAATTTCTAATGTTTTATTTCCATATTCAATAAGTTCTTTAAAAATATTTTGTAAGATTTCTGGAGGAAATTTATTTGTCATTTTTTTTTTTTTTTTCGTCGTCGGAAATAAGAAAAAAATCGTTTTTTTCGGAGAATGCTTTTTTTAGTTTTTGTTGTGAGAAGAAAATTATATATATATTAAAATTTAAATTTACCTTTTATGGTTTAATGTCGGCATTAACTTCTTATGTGGTAAATTAGAATGACTCGAAATTACGTAATAACTAGTAAACAACATTAAAAAGTAGACGAATATCCGATCATTAATAATAATCGACACATGAAAAAAAAGACGTGGTATGCATACAATACTTTAAGATATTCTGATTTTCATGATTACATCATAAACTTGTCAGGATACTCATTCTTACGTATAAAGTGTAGACTATGAAGTATGTAATGTGGGGTGTATGGAACATTACGAGGGTGTAATATGAAGGTAAGGGCGATGCTGAGAATCCAGGATTTTAATTTGATCTGTCCTCCTGTCCATGTTATTATTAAACGTTTGATATTCTTAATATTTGATATTCTATGAAGATCACATGCCGAGTAATAATTTCCAAAATCTACTTTTAGAATGGCTCTCGGGCTGATCAATAAAGTTGTTGCAGTTTTTCAGTTTCAGATGACCATATTTCCACAATAGTGTTTTAGGTTGTAGGGAAAAAAGTATTAAAGTATTGTACGTTTGTACGTTGGATATTTTGGCTATCATTTCTAGATTTGATGAGTGAAAATGATAAAGATTGATGTTATCACTTATCATATCATCATCTTGATTAGCTAGATTAATATTTGTGTGAAAAGATTTTAGTTTCTATAGTTTTTTAAATTTTCTTTGAGAAAAGACGATAAAAATACATTACGATAAATATACTATTCATAAAAAAAAAAAATGCCTGATTATGAAATTTATATGTTTACTTCATTCATGTTTATATTTATTTTAGCTTATTTTTGGTTAAGTGAAAAGCGAGAAGAAATATAATAATAATAAAAAAAAATATTAATTTCTATTATATCTATATAAAAAAATCCTTTCCCTAAATTTATACTGTATATAAATAAATACTTTCACTTTTCTTCTTCTTTTTTATTGGAATCTGTTCTACGCCATCCTCCGCTCATAATCTTTTTTACACTCTCATTAAATTTATTAGCAGTACTTTTATCAGTTAAATTAGAGTTACCGTTGGTCGGAGTCGTAAAATTATTTGTATTATTTGAAGGATTAAATAATGCAGGAAATGTTGGAGTAGTAAATTGTGATAAAGTAATTGATGATAATATATTTGAATTTTCCAATAATGTTGTGTCATCTGCAACACGTTGTTGAAATTGTTCGGTTATTTGTTGTTGTTCATTCCTCTTTAATCCCTATTGGAACAAGATAAAAAAAAACTTTTTTTAGGAAAATGCACATCTCTAGATTTGAATTATTCAAATTATATAATACCTTAAGCTCCAATATTTTTTGAAAATTATTAATATTTTTATCACCAATTAATAATAGATAATTTTCAACTAATCCTTCAGATGGATCATGTGGTGTAAGGATCGCTTTTAATATAGTTTCAATTTTACCGATTCCTTTATTTACAATTTTAGTAAATCTATTTAAAAAAAAAAATCATTTGTTATGCCTTGATATTTTATCGAATAAATAATATTAATAAAAAAAAAAAAAATACTTGCGTTGTTGATGGTGGGGCTGAATTTTCCATCCCCATAGTTGGCATTTCTAATATATATGTTTTCATTGCATGAATATCAAGTAACATCTGTAATATAATTATTGTTAATAAGGTGAATTAAGTAATAAAAATTAAATAAATATTATTACTTGCTCTGCTCCAACTTCAGATATTGGTTTACACTTTGATAAATTATTTATAATTTTCGATACAAATGACCTGAAAAAAACAACAAGAATTAATTGTTAATATCCGGAAAAAAAAGCAAATTTAACCAAAATATTTATTTCACTTACTCTACAAATTTATCACAAAAAGATCTAAAATACCGATTATTGGTGATATCTTTATGTACACTAACAACGCAAAGTCTCAATGTATTATGAAATGAAGTAACATATTCCGATTGATCACCAACTGACTCTAGATTACTCCAAGGTAATTTAGTCATAGCTGTTAATGATGGCTCGTAACAAGTTTCAATTCCTCTTACTAACGCTTTAATTGATGTAGCCACAACACTAAAAAAGAAATTGACTTTAATATGTCATTAAAATTTTATGCCGTCGTTTTAATCTTACTTTAAGAAACCCTCTCGTTCTTCATCAAAATTAATCTTATCTTTGTATTCTTCATCAATTTTTTCTTTTAATTTATCTTCCAACTAAATAAAAGGAATAATTTTTAGCAAAATCCAATAAGTTGTTGAAATAATTTTTAAAAAAAAATCGAAAAAGTAATTTTTAACAAAATTCAATAAAATACTTACTTGCGGGATTGTATTATAACAATAATCGGCCGTATTTAAAATTAAACAAGTCAATTTCAATTCGTCACGCGTCATATTACCCCTAAATCAAACAAATAAATATAAATAAACATTTTTGTTTTATATGATTAACAAATCAAGTACAAACCTTGGTATTCTCCCAATTAAAACATCACTAGCATAAATACGAAGCCGTTTTGCAAAAGTAATACATAAATCATAAAATGGTTTACGTATTGATAGTTTCGAACAATTAACTATTGTTTCTTTGTAATATATGAATAATTCTGTACTAGATTGTAGTACTGATGAATTATCGTCATCAGAGATTGGCTCTGTACGATATGTTGAAATCATTTCTGCTATATTTCTAAAAAAAATAAAATTATTTTGTTTAAAAAATTTTTTTTTCAATTAAAATTTGACGGACAAAATAAATGTTATGTTATACTCGTAACTTGTCTTCGGCATCTATATAAAGTCCAAGATATGGTTCGAAAGATATTGAAATACTTTTATTGAAGTTATATTTAGGTAAGGAATTTACTGATGCTTGAGGTGGTTTCTCCTATAAATGATCTTAAAATTAATATTAAACATTTAATGAATACAAATGCATTTAGAATATTTACCATATATGCGAAACGCTTTAATAATTGATTTTCAAATTCAAGCGTTAACTGTAAATTTTTGAGCAAAGTTTTAACATCCAATTCATTCCCAGCACGCGAAAGAGTTTTAACTAAATCTTCCCTGTAAAAAAAAAAATAATAAGTATACAATAAATATACAGTAATTAAAATGTTTACAAATTTTACCTAGTTATTTCACAAAATTTACTACAAAGGACTTCACTAACATTCCAATGTAAAGGGAAAATATCAGCTTGTTCTTCATCAAAACTTTTTAAAACTCTTTTTATCCACGCATATCTTCTTGATGTATTATCAAGTGATGCAATCTAAAAATAAATAATAAATAAGATGAAAGGTTCAAAATGTGTTGTTATTAAGATAAAGTACCTCATCACTTCCTCGAAATATTCTTTTATATTCTTTTAACTGTCTCTCACAGTACCAATTAATAAGTTGATTCCTATTAATTAGAAAAATAATTTAATTAAAGTTGTTTAAAAAAAAAAATCTTTATAAGGCCATCACAATGTTTACTCATAACAATGATCCAATTTGCAAATTTACGCCCTACTCATTACTGTAATCTCGAGAAAATGTAAGATTTTTTTATCGTCACATTTTCTATAAAAATGGCAGGTTTTTTTATAATGGATCTTAAATCAAAATGGAAGGAATGCTAATTAAATCGAATGGAGGGATTTATGATGACTATTATTAAATGTAACGGCCTAAATAAGAAAATGCCTTACTTTACATCTTGTCCCATAATATCCACGACTAAACAAGCATCACCAAGGGGTGCAGTCTGGACTGTGAGGTTTCCATCTGAAGTAAAGCTAAATTAATTAAAAAAAATTTCCTTATGTTAAATTTTTTTTTTTTAAAACAAAAAGCAATTTTAAATTATAAATTAATTTTGTACCTTGATTCAAAATCTTCAAATATTTGTTTCTTTAATTCATTTTGAAAAGTAACTATGGAAATTAATAATTCGGCTATTTGTTTTATACTTTTATATGATTTAAAATATGATGCAAGTTGTAAAACCGCCTATTAAATTATTAGCCAAAAAAGTTAATTAAAAGATCCCATTTAAAAAAAAAGTTTAATATTTGCATGACCTACTTGTAAAAGTTGTGAAGTTTCTTTATATTGTTTCATGTGTGCCATTATTCTCAATTGATCTACTGCCGTGACTGAAAATAAAAAATATATATAAATTATATTATTTTAATATATAAAAAAAATTCAACAAACTTATTATTTACCTAACATTTGTAATCTTTTTAAAGCAGTAATTGAAATGGTTAAATGCCTTTTTGCGAAATCCAATGATTTAATATCTTTAGTAATTTCTTGTACCATAACTTCAGATTGGGTAGCTTTATCTTTAATTTCTCTAATTCTTTTAAATAATTCCTAGATTATCAACAAATTTTTTTTTGGGACATATGATATAATACATACAACAAATTATTATTAATAATCGTTCAATAAGTACCTCAATGGCTCTTTTTGCTTCATCTATTTTTTCATTTCCTTGTTGACAGTTTGTTTGTAATCTAGTAAGTTCACGAATTTCTTCTTCCAATTGTCGCATCTTATGTTGAAGTCGTTTTGTAGTTTCATCAATTGAAGCCAATGCATATTCTTTATAATATAATTTATTAGAAGTTTAGAACAATATTTTTTTTAAAAAAGCATAAAAGAAACTTTATTCGTTTACCATTGGGAAGCATTTTATTAAGATATTCAATTGGATTAAATTCATTACTATCTATAGGATCATTTGCTTTTAATATTTTACTAATTGAATTTTCTAATTCTGGAGGAAACTTAATAATATCATTGTTGAAATCTTCTTGAAGTGAACCGTTTTCTTGTAAATTCTCATTTTCGGTATTTGAAAGCATGATAGGAATGTAAATCGCAACGTGTCCTGTTGATCTTGGCTTTTTATTTAAATTAGTGTGGCTTATCTCGTTTGATCAACGTTTACCACCAATAAACGTATTGTATCTGTTATACTTATTTTCGAAAAGCTTTAAAGGTCATTGTTTTAAATCGTCAACTCTAAGACCAAACGATCTTACTTAATTTTTTTAATAAATTCTATTCGAAATTTATTAACTCAAATCTCTATCTACTGTTAACAGTGTTATCCAAAGCCCAGTTCACATTGATCTCACCGTGACCCTCGTGATCCCATCTTTTATAAACTTCCACTTATCGACAAGACTCACCAGAGTTACGGCATTAAGTGTGGCGTTACGGAATTTAGTGCGGCGTTCATTGTGATTACGTTGACAAATAAAATTTCACTAAATGTTAATACATGTGACCATTCATGTCTCTCTCTTCGACACCTAATTATTCCTGTAAGCATCCTCGCGTAGGCGTAGGTGTTTTCGTTATTCGTGGCAATAAATTTCTTGTTGGAAAGCGAAAGGGAAGTCATGGCGCTGGTAATTTTATTAAAAATTAACTTTTATATTAACTTTTATTGAATTTATCATATTAATGTTTCTTAATATACTAGGAACTTGGGAAATTCCTGGAGGTAAAGGGCCTTTTTTTTACACGAAATCGTGATTTTTTTTTATAATCATTTATTTTTTATTTTATTAGGACATTTGGAATTTGGAGAAACATTCAGCGATTGCGCAAAACGTATTTATTTATTTATTTAATATATATATAAATTTTTATTTGGTTATTAATTTTGATCTTTTAAAACAGGTGAAATTTTAGAAGAAACGAATCTTGAGATAAAGAATATAAAGTATCAAACTGTAACTAATGAGATAATGCATAATGAAAATAAACATTATGTAAGTATTTACATGAAAGCTGAAGTTGTAGATGAGAATGTGGAACCAGCGGTAAGTGCGATCTTTTTTTTATATAATGATGAATTTTTTTTAGCATAAACTCATAATGAAAGCTTGTATTAAGGTGATGGAGCCAAATAAAACTGAATGCTTGGAATGGGTTACATGGAGTGAATTTATTAAGGGTGGTATTACAGGCATATTAGAAGACAAAAGTGTAAATAAGTATAGACCAATGTTTCAACCGATGGAAACTTTAATAACTGAACAACCTGAATATAATCCTGTCTAATCAAAAGACTTAATATTAGAAGATATACTAGAATAATACAACATTTACCATTTTGAAGTCATAAAATTTCTAATCTCTGAAATCATTCGGATAATCCAATCTTCTGAGGAAGTTGTTGGAAATACTTAAAATTCAAAATAAACAATAAATCACTCAAAAATAAAATTTCTTGTTTCAATTGATCTGAAATCAACTATTCTTAGTAGAAATATTTTGGGATTTTTTTTTTATAATTTTTGATATTTCCATTAAAAAGAATTCTTTTTTTCATCTGCAAATTCTTTAATTAAGTATCGTAGATTGATTTGATTGTTGTTCGTAACTTTTCTACAAATATAGAATAACATAACTTACAAATATCTAATCCTCCTCAATATAAATAAAGGTCCATCACACCGGCTTTATCGGAATGTTTTGTTTCCCACTTAGCAACCTTCCAATCTTCTTCATCTCTAATAGCGACCATGTCATATGCTCCATTTTTATAAGATATACGTTCTTGATTAAGTTGAAAATCAAATCTGCTTTCAATAGCCTGTATAATTCCATTAAAACTAATATCTCGCGGAACGATAACTCCCCCACGTTCTACATGCAAGTAAAATCTCACAAACATCTATAAAAAAAGATAATCAATCAAGCTTAGATAAATAAATAACCAAATCTTTTACAATGTTATTAACAAAAAAAACCTTTTTAGCATACCTCATTATTTAAGTTAGAATTATTGTCCTAAAAGTTGTTACAAATACATGAGTGAAAGTTATTTTTTTTTTTTTGCATATAATGCATTAGAATTTAAGATCACACCTGAATATTTGATGAATCTAGGTCTCTAATGTCTAAAAATATTTCAGTTCTGTACCTTCCAAAAGCAGCTTCAACAGAAACCAATACGTTGAGGCTGACAAACGGACAGGGTATAAAAAGCAATGATGTTGCTTTCTCTAACAGACCATTAGATGGATCTCCTTTTATCTCAACTCCGTTTTGAAAAAACTATTTATATAATAAGAAAAGAATTAAGATATAGTGATGTTATATTTATAATTAAACAATGATGTTACCCTTCTATCAAAGTTAGGTATGAGTGAGATTTCTAATTCTTTGTATTCGGCAATTCTGAATCCAGTCACCTAAAGGAAAGAAAAGATCAATCTTTGAGAAAATCAAAATAAACAAAGCTTTATATACCTGATCATACGGGATGCAAATTTTATCTTTTAACTCGTTCAAACACAAGTACATATCACGAGTAGAATGACAAAATAATACACCCAATTTTACATCGGTATAAGTATCAAGAAACGCCCCCGTAGGTTTGATTGCAACCTTTTTACATTCTATACGAATAGGATCCACAATTTTTGGTTTAGCATTGCTAAACGTAGTTGGTGCTAAAGATTATTGATTTTCATGTGATTAATTTCTTTGTACGAAAAATTTATATTATATAATTGTGGAAAATAAACCTACCACTACCCGCACTAGTACGACTTCTTCGGTCATCATCCATACTTAACAATTAATTCTTTTCAAGATATTTGTACAAAAAATCTGGTTAATTGTGAAATAATTGAAAGGAAGAAGATGACTTAAATTTTAGATTTTACTCCTAAATCAGTAACAAAATTTATACGTATTACAATTGTATTAAAATGTGATTTACATTGTATTACAAAAATATACAACACGGGAAAATGAATCAAGAAAAAATTGTTATCATTATTTGGGGAGCAAAATAATCCATTACGTGTATTTATTAAATGATTGAGTTATACTATACCTAGATGAATGTGTTTATGATCAATATTATCAGACTGAAAATTGAAAACTCCTGGATGGTCTTTACTTTAATTGTAAAAAACAGGGCAATGTTTCATCTTGATAAAAGAAACTGAAAATTTAGCCATTTTAATCATAAATCAAATCGGAATATAATTGCTTGAAAAGATTAACGAATAAAGCTAAAAGTAAAGCTAAAAGAAATAGTATTCCAAATGATAGTTTGGATCAGATGAACCCAGTTGTTAGTAAATAAAAAAGGAAAAAGGAAAAAGACAAAAGACATATATTTTTTATTAGTTTCAAAAATACAAAGGTAGTAATAATTTTAGGTAATACTTTATCCATACAAACAATTCAACTAGATAATAATAATATGTATTTACATTTCAGGAAAAATATTTTTTTTCCATTTATTTATTACAACTCTTCTATTTTAAATACATTAGTTCTTTTATAAATATTGTAAAATTTATATATATAAATAAATAAATTATATATAACTAAATATATAAAGGTCAGTAATAAAAAAAATTTATTATAAATTTTAAATGAAATTTAGGTATAATATTTAATATTATTTTTAATATTTTTATTTTTCAATAAACATACAAAAATATATATTAATAGTTAAATATATTTTTTATTTTATTGTTATTTTTTTTAAAGTAATTTAAATTATAAATAATCATTTTTTAAATATTTAATTAGTGTTATAGTATTTTAACATTTTTGTTATAAATAGCTTATTAGATTTATTTATTAATCAAATTTATCTCCTTAGAATTGAAAAAAAATTGTAAATTTTAAAGAATTGATTTTTTGAATTTATAGGTGTTTTTTATTTTCCAATAAAGAAAAATTCCAAAAAAATGTCAAATTATATATATACATTAATCTATAAATTTATCTTGTAAAATATTTTAATATTTATCACTTATTTAAATAATACTTGTAATAAAATCAGCAATTGCACATTCATATACAAAAAACTCATTTCCTGTATAAAATGGAAATATTATGTAATCCGTAATCTTGGCCAGATTTGCCAACATATTTCTGAGAATAATTTTACATTTTTTTCTTTATTTAAGTTATTCTTTTTTATTTTTATTTTTAATAAAACAAACTTTCCTAGCTTGTTAAAGTAATATATTTAATTGGAAATCTTATTATAGTGGACCCTCTTATACTAATACGTGCAAATCCATTTCGCACTCCAATAAATGTCTTATTAGCCACTAGAACGTTGATGAATATCTGTTAACATCCTGTCTAATATTGTAACCACATGATGTCTATACTTCCCCAAGGTAGTAAGTAATGAAAGTAAGAAGGGAAACTTACGGCTTGTTAGAGAATTCGATTAGCTAACAGATTTGAAAGCAACACTGATTAGGAAACTTAATAAATTACGCCACAAAAATTTAGTGTATAATATATATATATATCAGATTACACAAACTATTTGTGACCCAACTCGTGAATTTATCATTTTTGACTCTATGTTTTAATAGTAAAATAAATCGGCTAGAAAGGCTAAAAAGGCTAAATGAATAAACTTTTTGATAGTACTGGTTCAGTTTTACCCTAATTCTTATTGGTTATCTCTAATTGGTTGATAATATGGTAGACTTTTGATTTTAAATAGACTGTAATGTTAGTAAAAGTTTATGAGGGATTCCTAGAGTTATTGGGCGCTTTCGTAACGAAGTTAGCATCACGTGAGATCTTTCGCAGTGAAAGATTTAAAGCCAAAAAAATTAATTAGTAAAATAAGAAAAATGCGCGTTAACCTTATTTTTATATACCTTCCTTGTTTTGAATGCTCATTGAAGTGACAAAAAAGGCAAAGGCGCAGCTGCTGAAAGGTTACAAAGTAGTCATTACGGTTAAGGTACGTAACAACCATATTTGATATGTCGTAATAATTCAAAACGCCAACTCCATAATTGTTGCTAAATTTAGATAGCACCTATTCTTTATGGTTACTAGATTTTTTATTTCGTAATCAGCTTGATTAGGTAAAATACCGCAGTTCCATGGTTAGTCTAAATAAAAATTTCCCAATTTCAATAGACTTTTTACAAATGAATGCCAAAAACAGATAAAGCGGTAAAATAATCTGTTCAGAAATTCGGAAAACAGCGCCATATAAATATTCTTCACAAATCATTCTGACAGTTTTCATGTGAAGAAACAACTTTCATCAGAAAGATTGGTTTAGACTATCAGACCGCCATCTTTAGTCGCTATTAGATAATTAGCTGCGTCAAGCTAAGCCGATCAAGCTTAAACGGCATTAATAGTAAATGGTTAGTATATACTGTTTGTCTGATTGGCAATTGATCTGCAGCACCACTTTAGAGATATCCGACTAATTATTATCCGATCTAGTCGGGTCGTATTACAGAATCTGACTCAGAATGATAGTTCATTCCAAGTGTTAAGTGAAGAAATCAATTACTTTTATGTCTTTTAAACAGAAATGTAATGTATTTATAACAATTAGTAAAAATTTATTAAAAAGTAAAATATGACAATTAAGTCGAAATATAAATATTAACTGTTAATCATAATACTTCAATATATATCTAAGGAAGTTATAATCTCTTTAAATGAATAAAACTTACATAAGTTAAGTATCATACAATCCATTTGCTTGAATGTACTTAATAACAGAATTAGGAAGAAGATATTTTATAGACATCCCACGCCTCACGAACAATCTATGAAACAAAGTAATACTTAATTTAAAATGTTTGAAATTAATTTTTATGTAAATGAGAAATACATACCGCACTTTCGTTGAGCTGATATCGTTATATATTAATTGTTTAATTACATAGACATTTTTCTATATGATTAATTATAATTAAGTCAATTAAATCGGAATTAAATAATAGTTGAAAAATATATGTTTTGTACATACTCTGTGCTGGTAAAGTATATCGTGGCCTAATAAGAAGCCCCAAACATCAGCTCCAGTTCTTTCAACAATTAGACATCCATAATCACCAAGAATATGATGAAGCTATCATATCGTAAGATCATGAGACTTATATTAAAAAACATATCAAATATGCAATTTCTATATAATGCATAACAAGCATAACTTACATCATCATCCAGCCAAAGACCGGGAGTCTTGAAAGATTCAATCAAGTCACCACCAGCAAGTAGTAAAACTTTCACATGCCGACATTTACCTTTTAAATTAAAACATTTTTAGTTGTTTGATACATATCTGAAGATCCAAATCAAATTAGATAAACCAATTCACCTCTAGATGTCATGACTCCACCACGTTTGGTGTTTATTTCTTCATTAAAGTGATCAAGTACCAATGCTGTTCTAGTGTATTCGGGCTGAAGACTCTCCCATGCGTCAACCATCAACCAAGTTGAAGTTCGTTCTACTGCAAGTTCACCCATGCGAACTCTATGATGAGACGGGGCTAGACCCTCCTTTTGATAATGATCTGATACGGGGGAATAATATCCTCCCATAATTTCAAAATTCGTATTCTCGTGGATGTAATCCTTCGCCATTTCTGAAGAGAGAATTTTGACGTAAAACAATGTTTACATATATTTTAAACTCAAATACATTTCATAATAAAGTATCAAAATTAAAATACAGTTGAAAATAGTAATATTTACCAAAAATTCGTAAATGTAAATACGTGATCGGTGAAAATGACCCGCACGCAACTATAACAACAGGCTCTTTTGTGTCATCTGATGAGTTTTTGATTGAGGATGCAATTCTCTAATTACTAATGGATTTACTACCTTGAATTAATTAAGACATAATTCTGTAAAAAAAAGCGTTAAATCGAACAAAATACGATAAGAAAAACAAAAATACTTCTAAACTACCATGGTTTTGAAAATAATGAAGTTTTCAAAAATTTTAACGTGTTTATTTTCAAGTAAAGAAGCAACTTTCGTATGCACGTGTTATTTTAATGAAATAAAATAAAACTATATTTCATTCTAATTACTAATTTATAACTTTTAAGACAAGGGAAGAAGTATACCTTCGAGTTGTGTTTTAAGCCTATGCGCTGGAAAAAAATAATCTTTAATGTCTGAGGGCTGAAGTTTAACGGCTGGGTCATCTTCTTCCAACTCAGTAGCCGAAGGAGAAGGTAATTGTGTTTTTTTACTAATGCCATTACTTTTAACTGAAGCCATGGTAGTCATGGTAGTTTTGTTCGGAGTGAAAAGGAAGTGACACTGATCATTTATATCGATTGATTGCCATAGTAATTATAGTAATATGCTGTACGTGTAATAAATGACTAATAATTATACGTGGCTAATCATGTGATAAAACAGTTCCACGTGAGTTACTAAATATATACATGTTAATAACATTATTAATACTACTTACAATTGCAATGTCAACACCCGTACATTCAATTCAAGAAGTGGATGCTTTAGGAACGAAACGTCGATATCATAATAAGCAAAGTTTGTGCTATATAATAAGGTCCGGTGTTGCGGGTGGTGTTGCTGGTTGTGTAGTACGTGTATTTTTTTTTTTTTCTTAATTATGAAGGTAATATTCGCAAATTCTTAATACATATCATCGAATTTAGGCCAAAACAGTAATTGCACCACTGGATAGGGTAAAGATATTGTTTCAAGCTAGTAATCCACACTTTCAAAAATATGCAGGTAGATTCAAGCGTTTTGACATAAAACCCTTTTGGTGTGTAATTGTGGGTTGTGATTTGTTATATGGGCAAGGAATAGAAATAATTCTGGTTATATATTAACGTTTCGATTCACAGGAACATGGTCGGGCGCATTTCAAGCAAGTAAAGAAATTTATACAATTAATGGGGTTAGGGGTTTATTCCAAGGTAATTCTGCTACTTTATTGAGGATTCTCCCTTATGCTGCAATTAAATTTGTCGCATTTGAACAAATTCGTCATGTAGGTTCTAAATTTTAATAGTTTTAATATATTTATTTATGAAATTAATTATATATTTATTTTTTTGAATTTAGGTATTAATGCCAAATGAAGATACAGCGTTTAGACATTTAATATCTGGATCTTTGGCTGGTAAGTTACGATAATTTCCCATTCCCTATTCTGATATTTTTAAATTTTTATTTTATTTGAAATTTACATCTAGGTATCACTTCTGTATTGTGTACTTATCCTTTGGAGCTTATACGTGTAAGGCTTGCTTTTGAAGTACGAAATGATTCACGTGTAAGATATGTTACTTTATTTAAACAGATTTATCATGAAAGTGCAGCTTCTCATAGAAAATTGATTCATTTTCCAATTATGAATTTTTATCGAGGATTAAATCCTACAATAATTGGAATGATTCCATATGCTGGAGTATCATTTTTTACTCATTATTTGTTGACTGAATTTTGCAGAACAGAACTAGCAGATTCAACTACTAAACCTTCTTTAGCTGCAGGAAAGTTAGATAGCCGAGGTCAAAATATAAAATCTCCATTAAAAACATGGGCTGAACTAACAGTGGGTGGATTATCAGGTGCAATAGCACAAACTGTATCTTATCCTTTGGAAGTAATTCGACGTAGGATGCAAGTTTATGGTGCAGTGGATCCAACAACTTATGTTGGATTGTTGCAAACAATTAGAACAATTTGGGTAACAAATGGATTTAAAGGATTCTTTGTGGGATTGAGTATTGGTTATTTAAAAGTTACTCCTATGGTAGCGGTATCTTTTACTGTTTATCATAGAATGAAATTATTATTGAACATAGATTGATTTATGTATAATTAAAATTATGATTTAGAGTTGTGCACGGAACCTTGCATATCTCATCTATTCATCGTATTCTAGGAGTAAATTAAAAGATACTGTAGATTCCGAAAGCTCCTAAATTTTTTGTTATAAATGTCCAATCATAAATTTAGCAATTAATAAAAAAAATATCGGTATTGAAATTTATTATAAATATCATAGATATTATTATTAATTGATCTAATTCTCACGACAGATCTAATTATTGTAAAACTAAATTGACCAATTGACCATCAATTTTTAATTAATGAATACACACAAAATACGCCAAAAAAAATAAAAACTCAATTATAATTAAACTTTTTCACAAGATAAAAATTAATATCTTTTGTTACAACGAGAAATCATGAAAATGATTTTTTTTTTTTTAATTTTTATTTTTAAAATAATTTTATACAATTTCTACAAATAAAACGAAAATTTTTCGCTTTATGATTTTATTATTATTATTTTTTTTTTTTTTGTAAAAAATAGTTTTTAAAAGAAAAGAAAAAAAAAAGAATTGATTTCCCAATGATTTATATTATATATAACCCAAGAAACCCAAGATACCCAAAATAATGAAAGACTGATTACATTCCAACGATTTTCCTATCCCAACGTTTTCCTTCTAAAACTTCAACGGGTAAATTGGCGAAACCTCTTGATAAAGAATTTTGACGTTCCAAATGTTGTTTCCACATAATATTTTTTGGTTGTTCTTCGCTACGAATAGCAGAACCAACTCCCATAAATAATGCAAAGCTACCAGCTGAAGTTGCCATATATTGACCAAGAGTTGAAATGAATCCTCTTGGACCTGCTCCGTATCTAAAAAAAAAAAGAACTATGGTCAAAGACGAAATTTTGATTTCTAATTGTAAAATTAAGATTTTCTACCTACCTGAAAATGTGATATGTTCCAAGAGCCAAACCTAGACACACCCCTACAGCACTTCCCATTATAACGCCACGCTTCATATGATCAATACGTGAAGGTTGTTCCATTTTTTTCTTGTTTTATTTTAAAATCGTCTTAAATGATTATGTTTATTTTTAAAAAACAACCAATTATATAAGGAAAAAATTTCTTAAAGGAAAAAATAGTACGTAAAATTTACCATTAAAAATTAGGAAATTTTTAAAAAAGAAATCGATTAGTCTTGATGTGGTGTTTATATACCAATTTCCTTGAGAAAAATCATATGGGAGAATTTTTTTATGGCGTTTTGTATCACAACAGGGTCACATAATATCGTAGATCAATGAATGTCGTCTTTTAAATCCATTGTCTGGTAGGATTATTCCCATTGTATAGTTTGTGAAATATTTGTTCATTTGACACGATAAGAAGTATTTTTCAGGGAGAGAATAACATAAATTTTACTAAATAGAATTATTATACGTAGAGAAGCTCAAGTCATATGTTATCTTTTATCTATATTAATCATTATACTATTTCTCAGCATGAATGAATAAATTATTATATGTTTATTATGTTTACATATTTATATAATTTTTATTTTTTAAAAATAAAAATTATTTATGTCTTTTATTTTTTTTTTTTTTTTTTTTAAAAAAAAAAAATAAATACCCGTCCATTAATTAAAAATACCCACACACTAATGATAATCCAATAGCTCATAAATTTCAGCCCTTGCAATTTCATCCCCATCCTTTTTAATAACCACTACTTTATCAATTATACTATTAGAACCACAAATTTGAAGGTTAGCGTATTGTTTATTAAATGAAACTAATTCAATAGCATTGTTAAATACAGAATCGGTCAAATCATATAATAAAACTCCTTTATTATTGTATAATTCTGCTCTATAGCGAGGATTTCCGTCTTCATCTTTAATTCCATCTACTCCAATATCTGTAGTAAATATTCCATCAACAATAACTTTATCTCCTCCTTTATTTTCGCTGAACGTGATTACTCCAGATAAATAATCTTTATTAAAGTCTGGAAAAAATTCCACATGTCCTTCTATTTTACATGGACTATTTATTACTGCAGCTGAAGTGATAACCGTAAAAAATATAAATGTGATTATAAGTGTAAATGGAAACGGATGGCTTGTATATCTCGTCATATTTGTTTAAATTTTTTATGTTTGTTGAGGAAAAAGTGAGAGAGAAAATTTCAGTTTAAATGAGTATTAAAGAAACTAATATAGAGGAAGTCCAAACTGTTAATGATTGGCCTAATCTATTTATATTCAAACCTTAATGAAGTAAATTGGTTAGTTAATTTGTCTTTTTTATATAATTAATATATTGGAAATTTCGATTAAATAATTTTATACATATTCACCATCCCTAGATAGGTTAAGTGTCACAAGCTCTCAGCCGTTTGTAAATATTTAGATTACCATTGGCCCAATAATTAATATTCTTATCACGTGATTTTATGCTAATCATTGTGCACATAAAAGGTTTTCGATGTAAAAAGTTAAGAGAATTACAATAAAGCAAAAGATTGCATAATTATGATACAGAACTAATATATAAAGAGAAGAAAGAAGGGCTTATTGTTTCATAATTCTTTTATATTACAACATATTTAAATACTATTTATTTACATGTATACAAATCATTAACTAATACGGTAACCTACTCTTATGATTGCTACTATCAATAGTAATTCTTTTGTTTCGTAAAAATTTATTAACTGAAGGTACTCTTCGAAAGTTCCATTAGAAGGTTTGAATTTCAGTTAGCATATTATACGTTTCAAGTTTTACAAAAAAGTTATAAATTAACTTTTTTCATCCTTCAAGCATAATAAATAATTTCGTTTTTATGTACAGTAATTATATAATTCAAACATTAGTTATTTTATCAATGAATTTTTTAAAATTCATTAATATAATAATAATAATTTAATACACGATTGTACAAGGTTTCTCCGAAACAACAAAATAACCGTCAATCGGTCTTTCTAAATAGAATTAATAATAAATTTTGTTAATTGTTTTTTTTACAATTTACAATAAATTAAATCTATATTAAGATTTTACCGTAACTGTCTTAACCCCTTCCGCGTTTGATGCATTAGAGTGATCAAAAAAAACATTGTTGATCTAGTGTAGTCAGCATCAATTCGAATTTTCCATTTTACCAATTTTACCACAAAGCTCAAAAAACGCGATATTCATGTCGAAACTAGAAAAGAATGTTGACCTTCTTTTTGGTATTCAATTTAACATAATAAGCGCGTTTTTACAATTATATTTATGATATTTTATAATTTCCTTAAGCTTTGTTTTTCACTAAAATAACAGGGAGATGGTTGGTTGTATTTATATTCACTGTAAGTTACACAAACTCAAACTTGTGACGATTCATCTTATAGTGTTATATTTACCTTTTTGAAATTTTTTAGAACTGATATACAAGCCTTTCTGAATCTCTCTCATTTTTTACAGGAATTACCTAGCTTTGATCTGACAATATTTGGTTTGTAATTTTTCGGTTTTTTCAGCAAAAATGCTTCGATGTCGTTTAAAAAAGTAATTGTAAAAGAATAAAAAGAAAAGTCAAAAAATAACAGAAAAAAAAAACTTGAAAAAATATACAAAAATAGGATCTTAAAAAATAATCCAGCGACATCAAGCAAAAAAAAATACTTGTCTTTGTATATAATAACATTTGGTATGTTTTTTATCTGGTTTGAGTCTTTTAACACTTTGCTTTTTGCTACCCTTGTTTTTTATTTCGTCCGCGTTCGCACTTTTTGGCTGTTCAAAACAAGGTTTTACTGAACAACCACGAGTGCATATAATAAAATTGGATGTCCATGAGCAAATAAACGATGGACTCTTCATATTTTGGTCTTATCGCTCGTTGCTCATGGAATTCTTTATGATCTCTACAAATCAATGATTAAGTTATAAACATATCTAAATCAAACCCCTACCTTCTATGGAATTCTTGGATGAAAAGTTTTTTCTATCTTTTCATCTTGAATTATATTATCAACCATGGCTGATGAAAACCCAGCTGTTCAAATTGAAGAAAATCAAGAACATCATGAAGAAGGAGACGTTACTGAAGATGCTGAAGCGGTAAAAATTATTCCAACTTAATACTTTTAATCATTTCGTATTTATTATTTTGTCGAGATGGAACATTTCACACTATCTCTTTGGTAAAGGAGCTCGAGGCAATGAAACAACGGGTTAAGGAAATGGAAGAAGAAGCGGCTAAACTCCGTGAAATGCAAGCTCAAGTTGAAAAAGAAATGAATCTTACTTCAGAAGGCTGGTATTTAACTTTATTATTGATTAATGTATTGATTCTCCTAAAAATTAAGATTTTAATATTTATTTTATAAACCTTTTAGAAGATAAGGAGGCAATCGACGCACGATCGATTTATGTTGGAAATGTGAGTTTTTTTTTTTAAAAAAAAAGGAAAAGGAAATGAAATGAAATTTATAATAAAATTTGATTTTAAATTTGTATAGGTTGATTACGCTGCTACCCCTGAAGATTTACAGAATCATTTTCAGTCTTGTGGTACAATAAACCGTGTTACTATTCTTTGTGATAAATGGAGTGGGCATCCTAAAGGGTATAAAATATTTTAAAAAAATTTATATATTGATAAAATAATTATTCATTGACAAGAGATATCATTTGAATATATAGATATGCTTATGTGGAATTCGCAGATCCTTCTTTAGTGGCTAACGCGATGTCGTTAGACAATTCAGTACTGCGTGGACGAGCGATCAAGGTAATATAATAATAATTAATTTTTCTCAAATTTCGTGTTTCAACCAATTTATTAAATATTATGAATTTTCAGGTTACAGCAAAGCGCACAAATATTCCAGGTTATACTAGAGGTAGAGGTGGAAGAGGTGCCCGTGCTGCTTGGCGCGGTGGATATTATGGACATGGTAGTGCTTATTATAGTCCAACATTCAGAGGTCGCGCAAGGTAAATCATAAATGATGATTATTAAACCTTATTTTTTTTATTATTAATTATCTTTTTATTATTGTTTTAGAGGACGACGTGCCACTTTCGCTCCTTACTAGATTGATTTTAAGTAAATAATTAGTTTTGATTAGAATAGTTTAAAAATCGGTTGATTGGAAATTTTATTTGGTTGTTAAAGCTTTTATAATCCTTTATCAAAAAAAAAGCTTTCTATCTTCATTTTAAAATCAATACATTAATAGCTACATATGAATCCTTATGCCTAATATTACAATTTTACTTCTTTTTCCTTTTCATTTTTGAATTTACTTTATAATATCATTTTAAATGAGAATTTTAAATGTAAAAAGAATTTATTAATATAAATACAAATTAACCATGTTAATAATGCTTTTTTTTGCTACAAAGCATAATAAATTTATATTATGTGATACATTGTTTTGCACAAAAAGTTAATATATAAAATAAATTAAAAAAATTGCTACGGCAAAAATTCTCATGCAAATTACCTATAAAAAGGCCACCCTGAAAAAAGCCGGGGTCAGATAAATAAGCACCAAAAAAATCAAAAAATCGCTATGCCATGGAAAGGGTGGAACTTGTAAAAAGACTTTCTTTATTAGAAGAACAAAAGAATTTATTTCTAGAAAATATTGAAACTGCTAAAACAAACGGTTGGCTTAAAGACGAATACGACGACGACGACGATTACAAAGGAATAGAAGCAGAAAAACTAACCGCTGTAAACATGGTTAACGCTGATAATACAATACTTGAACAACAAAGTCTTTCGACTTTGGATTTTCGAGTTCATCATTTAGAAAAGTCGATCCTTGGGTTTGACCCTATTACTAAAAAAGCTTCGGTACACGAAAAATTTAAAGAACAACTTTCCTTACTAAAAAGGGTTGACGAAATCAAGAAGGAATTTAACACAATTATACGGGAACGTGATGGAGCTGATGGATTGAAATCGTTTCTCGAAATTTGTAAATATTTTATTAAAGATATTCGAGTTTCCTTTAAAAAAATTTTGTCTATTTATACTAATCTTGATATTAATATAGACGACCAGGTGTCAGAATGCGTGTCTCCTTTTAAAGACTCTGCACTTGCAATGGAAAGAGTTATTTTGACACCTGAAGCTAAAGCAGAAATTATTTCTTCTTCATCTGAGGAACTAAAATTGGTTGCTGAAAATTTGAAACTAATTGATGAATTGCAACCAATAATTGAAGCTCAAGAATTTAAAGGTATTATTCAAAAATTTATTTAATATGATTATGTATATATGTAAGTTCAAACCTAAACTTTTGATAATATTTTGTTTAGATCTTGAAAAATTCCTTCCTAAACTTACACCAATTGAAACTGTTCACATTGATCAAGCTGCAAAAGCGAATGAAACATCTGCTCGTACAACGTGTTTATTAGAAAAATATAATGGAATTGTATGTTTTTTTAAAAAAATATAATTTAGATTTGTGCAGAAATGATTTATTCTTTGTTATAAACTCTTTGATTCAAAATTTTCTTTTTAGGTTAATACTCTCTCGGAACTTTTTATTTCTTGGGATAATATTCTTTCAACAATTGAAGCAAATGTTTCTGCGATTGAAAGAGCAAGAGGGAATTAAAATGAGGTGAGGCTTCATAAATTAATACTTAAAAGTATTAATACTCAAAAGCAGCGATGTTCATTGGAAAGTTTATACATATATGTATATGTATATATAAAATAATGTGTATTGAAAAACTATTGTAAATATTGGAAGGAATTGGAATTGGGAGGTCCGATTTCAATCATTGAAAGCTTCCAAGAACCATCACTGTTCAAAAAGTTTTTTCGATTCCTCAAAAAAATTTTTTTTGGATTCTAATCAACTTTTTTTTCTTTTTTTTTTTTCACTTTAAATGTTAGTCATGGGCTGGTGGTTGTTGATTAGATTGTATTTATTAATTACTATTTTTGCATATTGTTGCATTGTAATTTTTTTTTATAAACGGAAACTTCTCAAAGAAAAAGAGAAGACAAAGATTGTAGTAGGATATATAGAAGACATTCAACTTATCTTGCTCATTACATACATTGAGAACTTTTCATCAACCAAAATTTTATTACCATTCATTTTTTTTTTTATTATTATTTAGTATATTTTTTTTTTATTTTCAAGCAATTCAATCAATTTTTATTAATATATGAACAATCATTATTAAATCTTTTCAAAAAAAAAGGATAAGAAAGAAAAGGAAAGAAAAAAAAACACAATAAAAATTATTATTTTACATAATTTTGTGTTTACATGATTACATCAACCAAAAAATTAATATTTCATCATTTAATATTTAATTTTCTCAAGCAATATCAATTTTTTTTTTTTTTTTTTAATATATAAACAATCATTCATTTTTTTTTTTGTCAACAAAATAAAATAAAATAATTTTTTATTTTGCATAAATCATCTTGTTCATAATATATTTTTATTATCTACATCATTCAATTTTGGAACTGTATAACCGTATAGGTAATCATTATAAATTGAATTTCAACGGTTTTTTTTTTTTAAAAAAAAAATAAATATAAAATTTAGAATTTTACAAATCATCAAATTCAATCAAATCTACAACAAATACTTATATTGCTTTATTGTAATTCAAGTGTTTTTTAATTCACATGTAATTCAAGTGTTTTTTTTTAATTCACATAGTCACACTTCTCATAACTATGTATCAAAATTATTTGATCTATAAATGAAATTCAACTAATTTGAGCATATTGGCATCATTTGGGTTCCTTTTGGCAATTCCGGAACGAATTAACGTTTCAACATAAGGAGGCCATATTCTCTCCGGATCAAACGTTATATAAGGATTGTTGGGATTATTATAAGTCTGATTCATTAGATTCTATTTTAATATTATTATTAGTTAATAATATTACGTGATTATAACCATAGTTCCATCATGTATATTAAGTTTATTAAGTTTATTCATAACATACCTCCAACATGTCTTTTAGAGTTAAAAATCTTTTATTTCGAGTTTCATTTTCGGCATGAACTTCATCTTCGCCTTCAGCACGATCTTCATCTTCATTTTCATCATCATCTTTATTATCATCTATCACCATCTTACAAAGATAATAAATACTTAGTCATGTATAATGAAGGAAAAAAAAGAAAAGAAAATTATACATACTTCATCTACTTCATCTTTTTCAAAGTTTGGCGGTGGGAAATTAGTGTCGATAAAATCGTTTAGTTCATCCATTAACATGTTATAATTACTTTTGATAGATCTAAGCTCTTGCCTTATAGCACTATTTTTATATAAATAAATAATATTATGTTAATTTATAAAGTACAATTTTAAATTGAGCCCTTTGCAATAGAAAGGTGCTTAAGAATTGATAAAAGATGTTACCAAAAATGTTTCTACGTCCAAAAATTTAGGATTAAAACAATGATTGAATATTTTTCGACTTTCTATTGCAAAGGACCCATTATTATGATTTTTTTTTTTTAAAAAAAAAAAAAATTAAAAAATATTAAAAATATAAATAAAAATAATATTATACCCTATTTCTGATTGAGATTCAGATTCATCATCCGATTCATCCAATTGAAGTTTCTCTAATTTATTCAGTAAGACATTATGAATAATTTCACTTTCACTTAATAAATTTTTCTCCCTGTAAAATAACTAATAAATTTAATCAATCCGATTTCTTTAATATAAGTCAAAAAAAAAAATTATACCTTTCAATTTGTTCCTTTGATTCATCTATTTCTTTATGTATTTGCGGTATTAATTTATTATATTGTTCTATAGTTTCTTGAATATGTTTCATAACAGATAATTCACAAAGTACATGAGGTTTAGTTGTTAAGATTTTTTGATCTAAAAATTTAAAAATAAATTAATTAATGAATAAAAGTATTCTTTAAAAGAAAGTAGTAAATCAAGTACTTTTTTTTTGTTCTTCAATTTCTTCATCTAATATTTGTTCTTCAGCTTTCAATAAAGCAATTCTCTTATTTTTACCAAATAATATTTTGAGTAAAAATGATAATAATACCAAATAATACCAAATAATATTTTGAGTAAAAAAGAAATAATAAGAATTAATATTTTATTGAGTAAAAAAAAAAAAAAAGAAATTAAAAAATGAATATTTTTTTTTTTACCCTATCTTTTTCAGATAAATTATTTGTATGTTCGAAATGTTTTATTTTAGAAGTTAACTAAAAAAAATAAAAATAAAAATAAATAAATAAATTATTTTTTTTACGCGTTTTTTTTTAAAATAAACGAAATTTTTTTTTCATACTTCATTTAATTTTGCGTATTCTATTTCACATTGTTGTTTCATTGATTGTAAAACTTTATCTATATCATTTTCTAAATTTAAATGACTAAAAGTAGGTTTTGTAACTTTTTGATTCTTTAAATTGTTTGAATTGGGTATAAAATTTGCAAAGGAAAAACTTAAAGGAGTTCCTAATTCTGTGGTTATGGAACTTGTTTTCATATTTTTATTATATTCTTTATGTAAAAATAAAAGAAATAATTATCTTTTTTGATTTTATAAAAAATTTTATCATAAAAAAAAAACGTAAAGTCTCGAAAAAAACGAAAAGATTGATAATCACAACAAAAATTCACGACAAATCACGTATTCACATGATCGACATGATTGTACTACCGTATCGCCCTAAAAAAGCTTGATACACAGCTATTTTTATAATAATGAAAAAAAAAAAAAAAAAATTATATAATTATATTTACTTTGAATCAAAGGGAATATTACATTATACAATATATAAATCACCTACTTAAAATTTAAATACAAAATATATATTCAATATATTTAACAATTTTCACATTATAGATACATCAAAATCAAACAATTAAACAACCCCCTGGTTGGATAAACATGGGTATTTTTCGCCACACAAAAGTAGAATTATGATTAAATGGTATTGGATAAGTTGAACATTTTGGTTTAAAACAAACTTGTAGCTAATAAAGGATATATAATTATAAATAACTGACAAACCAATGCAAAACACATCAACAAATTATTTAGCCCTCACATTATTAAACAAGATTAAAGTTCATAAATACAAAGCACAATGAGGAGCAGATTTTGACCAAACAAGGATTAGATAAATTAAATAAGGAAATTATATAAGGAAGTATTAAAAGTATTAAAAGTAAAAGTATTAAAGTATTAAAGTAATAAAAGTATTAAAAGTATTAAAAGTATTAAAAGTATTAAAAGTATTAAATTACCAAGAACATTTAATTTCAAGCACAATGAAACCATTCAAAATTAATACTTGATGATACCATAATGGATAAATGGATAATAAAAAGGATTAGCTAGTTAAAATAATATAAATTTTTATGTGAAGTGAGACCTTTGACTTTAAATTACTAGTAAATGCTGTATGTGAAGTAATGCTGTATGTGAAGTAACTGCTGTATGTTCTGTAATATAAAAAACATATATTATAACGAGTGAAAAAAGGAAGATTAAAAAAATGATTGATGTTTCAAGAGATGGGAGCACGAACTTAAAATTATTCTAGATTAGATCACACGTGAGAAGGTACATAAAATGAATATTTCAGTAATTTCACCCGGGTTTTATATAATGAAGTCATTGTTTTATAAGAGTTATATGAAACGTAAAAAACTGATGAATGAATCTTAAAAAGAATTAATCAATTTTAGAATACCAAAATATTATAAATTTCATTGTACAATATTTCATTGTTATGTTTATTCACTTTACAGTAATGTTTGTTTAATTGTTTATCGTTGTCCGTGTTAATTCATTTATTTGCTTTGCTGGCGCTTCTTATGAGTTACATTTTTGGTAATTATTTGTAAAGAATATCTTATATCTAACTTTTTTCTAATTCTTTAACTCACTGATGAATGTTTCTAAAGAGTTTCTATTAGAAGAAAAAATTTTAAAATTTTAGAGATTGAAAATTTATTAAATAAACAAATAAATAAAGATAAACCTGATTTTCACTATTTGTTTATTAATAACTTTTGGTTCAAAATTTTAATTTTTTTTATAATTAGATGAAATAATGATTTGCTACGCGATCAATGATTTTACACGCTAAAAAAAACCGCTTTTTCTAAAATAAGCGTGAATTAGGGAATTCAGGGTTCTCTAAAACTAAAAAGTTTCAATTTACGTGATTTTTTTTTCATTCGTCTATTTCTATAAATAAACGCGTGCGTTATTAAAAAAAAAAAAAAAAATTACTTATACGTATTAATATACATATTTTTTTTTATTGCCATAATAC